CTTATTTCGTTGAGAAGGCTTCCGCTACTCGTTATTTCTGCACCCATATATTTAAAGTGATTTGCCGGTTCTATTATTTTTGAATCGATTTCCAGCTTACATTTTATAGGTTCTTTGGATGTTACTAAGCATTTAGTCTTCACGGTGTTGATGAACATGTTTAATTATTTTGCTTTAGTGTTAAAAGAGTGTAGTAATCTTTGGAGATTATCTTCAGAATCTGTAATAAGAACAGCATCGTCTATATATATATATATATATATATATATATATATATATATATATATATATATATATATATATATATATATATATATATATATATATATATATATATATATATATATATATATATATATATATATATATATATATATATATATATATATATATATATATATATATATCAACAGCTAGATCATCCAAGAACCATTAAACTTTGCAATTTATTCTTGACAAATTAAGAAAAATAGTATAATAGGCCAAAGAGAACTTCTAAATTTTACTCTTTTATACCAGAGAAGGCAACGGGAAACCACTCTGGTGTTTCTTTCCCAAGAAAATCACAATGGCAATACAACAAAATTTAATGGCCCCTAGTCCCCGGCAGGACTTAAATGTCCAAGGGGTGCGAAGAATCCTCGGGTTGGCTACGCTGAAAACCTTACAGATGGAATTTACGATAGGGACATGAAATGTGAGAACTCTGTTTGAAACAGGAAAATTTGCAAATGCATCTCACGAAATGGGCAGACTGGGCATCCAAATACTCGGCTTGAGCGAGATTAGATGGCCAGGCTCAGGAATAACCAGGGCAATGAATAAAATACTTTACTACTCCCGTAACAATGACTCCAAACACCACAATGGAGTAGGAGTAATTTTGGAGAAAGAATACAGTCAGGCGGTTACTAACTTTCTACCGGTCTCTGACAGAAACCTGCTAATTCAGCTTTCGGGAAAACCAATGAACATAAATATAATACAGACGTATGCTCCCACAGCCGATAAGTCCCCAGATGAGCTTGAGGCGTGGTACACAGAATTGGAGGAGTTAATAAAAGTTACTAAGAAACAAGATCTTACAGTCATCATGCGAGATTTTAATACGAAGATAGGTCAAGGGCGAGTGTCGGATTTGGTTGGCGAGTTTGGGTTGGGCGACAGAAATGACAGGGGCGAAAGGCTCATTGAATTTTGCCAACAACACAACATGGCTGTAACAAATACCTGGTTCAAACATCACCCTCGCAGACTTTACACATGGACGTCACCACAACATACGAATACCAGGACAGTCCGAAACCAGATCGATTTTATTATTATAAACAAAAGATTCCACAACTCAGTTACTAACGTCAAAACCTATCCGGGAGCCGACATTGGCTCAGATCACAGCCGTGTAATAGCTAGAGTGAGACCAAAATGGAAAATCATTAAAAGACCAAAACCTCCAGGAAAACCAGATGTGGGACTTCTGATGGACGTCACAATAAAACAAAAAGTAAGTCAAGAACTAAACGAGCACCTCGCAAATGTCTCTCGGGACCTTGCCCTTATCACTGATGTGGATAGCATGTGGAAAGCTATAAAAGACATCTTAAATGGGGCCGTTGAAGCAAATCTGAAATCAACTCCTAAAAGAAATACCTCAAGAATGGTTAGAATCAATTTTCGTACCATTGCCAAAGAAAACAAACCCCAAAGACTGCGGAGACTTTCGGCTAATTAGTTTAATGAGTCATGCGTTAAAAGTCCTACTGAAAATAATTCATAACCGCATGGGCAGGTTTCAATACTTGGGATGCTGGATAGATAACAAATTAGATCCAGACACAAAAATAAGATCGAGAATAGAACAATCCAGAAACTTTTTTGTACGACTCAGAAAGCTCCTATGCGACTCACGAATCAACCTCGAGCTGCGTTTAAGACTCTCAAAATGTTATGTGTGGTCTACTCTCTTGTACGGAGTCGAAACATGGACACTAAAAACGCAAACCATTAATAAACTAGAAGCTTTGGAGATGTGGACATATCGCAGAATACTTAAGATACCATGGACATCGCATACCACGAACGAAGAAGTTTTGCGCAGGCTGGGAACTGAACGAGAACTATTCAAGCTTGTGAAAGTCCGTAAGACTACATACCTGGGTCACATTCTGAGAAACGACAAATGCCGATACGCACAGCTCATCGTCAAGGGAAAGATCGAAGGCAAGCGGGGGCTGGGTCGGAAGAAACTGTCATGGCTGAGGAATATACGTCAGTGGGCTGGCATGGACTTCGAAGAGCTCATAAGATCTGCTGAAGACAGAGAGAGATTTGCCACTGTGATATCCAACCTCCACCGATGGAGATGACACGTCAAGAAGAAGATACAAAAAAAAAACAAACAGTCATGGACATCGACGTAAACAATCAGGAAACATTCGTAGTCCTTATACAAGCAATATCATTGTAATAAAAAATCGTTCTCATTATTAAAAATTAAATATTTTTATAACCAAGTAAGGATAAATCGTCTAAAAAATCTAGGAGCTTCATACGAAAAAGATCTTTGAAATAATGCCGTGTTATGTCTAGGTAAAAGTAGCAACTGTTTTTTTCTTGTATTGGTAGTATTTAGCACCCTAAAGGATCCAAGCTTTTAGACAGCTGACTGGTTTTTAATGGATTGTGAGTTTGTGGAGGCGAAAGTATCTCAAAGATTTAAGTTTCTATTGCAAGATATAATTTAAGGTTGCAACTCATTATTCACAATTCCAAAAGAGCTTCTTAAGCAATCCATAGAAGTGCATACCCTCAAATTACTTACTTCAGTTTTAACCTCTATATCAAACTTATTCAATGCTAACTGTAGACGATTTTTGATATAGTCTACCTGTTTCTGAGGTCCAAATAATATGCCCTCCGACTTATTGTCCTTAAAAGGTTGTGAGCTGAATATTAGAATTAACAATTTTGCTTGAAGGAAGAAAAGCGGTTGGGAAAGTTTCAAAATAAAAGGAAAGGATGATGTTGAGAAGAGCAGAGAAGCAGCAAATGTGCTAACTCTTTTGATAAAAACGAAAATAACCGATTGCCTTTAAACACCAAAAAAATTTTTTTTTACATGCCAATGCGAGAAGTTAGATGCGAGCTCTTTAAATTAAATAATAAAACTAATTTTTTAGAATTTTAATAGAATTGCAATATCGAAACAACAAATCGACAGTAATGACACGTTCCAGAAAATGAGGCCATTTTCATTCTAATCTATGGCAAGGCATATTTCCCTCCCAGGGTCCTTTGGGCATTTTTGGGCAAATTTTTCTCACCCCCAATTCGTTGGTCAAAATCTGATTATCTGATTATTCTGTCAACCGTCAACTGTTATAAGATCTCGGATTCAGTTGACATTTTCATGGATTCTCAAAGATTGCCTTTTGCTTCGTAGCACTTTGTTCCTTTTGAAACTACCTTAAACCACCGGAGAGACTGTGCTCATTATCAGAACACAACAGAAAAACTATTTCACACAAAAAAACTTTACGGAAAACCTAGCGAGTTCCAACGAGTACTAAATATGGATCATATGTTTCTTTTCCACCTCTCCAAACCCACCGCCTCCAGTACTGCCAGACAGAACGCTACTTTGCCAGTCTCATTATTTAATATACCTCGCCTTGTCTAATTGCTGTGTTTATATTTATATCTTCAGTTGTTGAATGTCCAACTCTGATTTTTGTTCTACAATGGGTGTTTATATCGTGTATTAAGTTAATCAATCTATGGTTTAAACCTTCCGTTCACATGATTTCTAGGTCATACTTCAAACGCACTCTATCGTAAGCCTTGGGCATATCGATAAAACACATATACACAGGTTTATTTAACTCTAACAATTTTTCGCATATTTGTTTGAAAATAATTATTGCGTCAATGGTGGATCTGTTCCTTCGAAATCCTTGTTGTTCTTCTCGTATACTTATAGCTTTAGTGACTGCTCGCAGTATAATTTGGATGATGCTATTAAGCAATGTTACTCCTCGATAGTTTTCCGGATTCGATTTCTGTCCTTTTTTGGAGATGGGTATTGTCGTGCTCTTCTTCCAATCGTTCGGTATATTTTGTCCTTCTATGATGTTTTTAAATAAGGTTAGTATTTCATTCTGTAGTTTTTTCCCTCTTTATTTAAGCATTTCATTAGTGATCTCGTCTGGTCCAGGGCTTTTCCTATTCTTTAAAGACTTCAGTGTATTTTCTAGAATGTCATGGATTAGTTCTATATTGTTGTTCTCCTCGTATTCATTTTGTGTTTGTTCCATGTCTTCCTCTTCCTTATATAGAATTGCAAAATATAAAAAATGGCGTTTATCAAAACTCTTACATAATATATTATTAAGACCTATTATTCCGAATGTCCAAAAATTACTTCTCGATTTAAACCATACATTATTGATACATGGATATAATATAAAACTGCAAATCTGGACGAAATTGTTGATAAATTAACCTACAATGCAATTATATTCTGCTTGGCGTGGGGGTGCTAGATGAGAGTTGATATTTTAGCTAATGAGAGCGTTAAACCCGATAAGTTGGGAGGTTGTTGACCCGACCGGAAATCAAAAACAGACCAGATCGGAAATCGTTTGTGATGAGACGCGGGTACCTCTTTACACTTTCAAATCGAAAATGATGAGTTCATAGTAGCTCGGCTCTTAACTGGAAACGTTGACGCATACTAGGAATAGTCATAGTCACTTTCTCTTTTTGAAAAAGATATAATGGAGCTCACAAAGAGCAAAGAGCGTATATTAGTAAAGGAATGAAAAAAACTGACCATCACTGTTTTTGCGATGTTAACAATTTCTTTTCAGATCACCTTAGTCAAGTTTTATTAAAAATTGAATTTTTAGAAGTATTTCTTGTTGCGTTGTTGCTTTAAAATTTTTCAATGAAAATGATTGGATTGGTTGCATCATGTTATAAATGAATGTGGTCTCTTCCAGCTTTGTGCTCAACGCGCCTTGACTCACATACTAGGGGACGAATGCAACAGCGATTGGGAATGCCGAGAGGACATCGCTGGGTCTATATGTCAAAGGGGACACTGCTCCTGTCAGCCGTTCTTCGCTAGAATTAATCAAACGACCTGCCTGCAATGTAAGTACATCAATCAGATGCGCGTTGGGGTGCATTGAATGTGTTTATGAAGTTAACAATAACCCACGCATTTGCGCATTTTTTGAGACAATCTATATTACTACAGATGCACTTCGACGGGGTACATTTTCCGTCAAAATATTATAAAGGACAAATAATCATCGTAAAAAATCATCAAAACCGGTTCAGGTCGAAACACATTTATGGTATAATCTAGGCTTGTTAATGACTTAAGATTTAATATACAGAATTCAAAGCGGCACTATATGTATAATCCGTCAAATGCGTTGTGACTATTTAGTTTTATCAATTATTAATTATTATTCAAGATAACAAAATTGCTGTCTTAGATCTGGCAGCTAATTTACATAGTTCCGCCTAGTTCGATTATTATCAAATTTCAAAAACATATAAGGCTTTGAAGCCCTCTTTAAGGTTGTATTTGAGCGTAAATTTAGATTGTCGTTTCTGGCATGGTGTTGTTTATTAATTTTTTATTTAATTATTTTGAGAATCTCGTTCGTAACTCAAATTCGTTTACTAAAGTGGGAATAATAACGTTGGGAGTGCGTTTTACAGATCCGTACATAGCAACCGGGATTCGTAAAAGTTGTTTGTTTTATGACCATTAATACGAAAACTCAAGGCAAGGAACACCCTATATTTACTCTGTCATTTCTATAAGCTTCGCATAACCTGTTTACAATAACATGTTTTCAGCCACCCTCCTGGGCTACGATTGTGTGGTGCCGGAACAATGCTCGTTGAAGGTGGCCAACAGCAGTTGTTTGGACGGCGTGTGCCGCTGCATCGACGGTTTCCTGCAGTTCAGGAAACACACTTGCCTCGGACGTGAGTACGCACACTAATTTCTGCTATACGATTATTATCGGTCGACGGCATCGACGTCTCGTGAGATGCGCGCCTATTCGTTTTCTTTTGTTTTGTCCCGACAACTACGGCAACAATAAGGACCACCATACACGAGCGGACTACCCGAAACGATGGACAAATTTCCCCGGGGGAGTTTCAAAAAGTTGAGCACAATATTTATGGAAACGAAATTGAAATGCTTTTTGAAATTCTAATGGGAAACTTGAACAAAATTTTAATTTGCAAAATATTGCTTATTAAAAGAACCACAGTTAACAAAGTTAGCAATTAAAAATTGTAAAATTTAAATCCTCTTTGGAACGCGTTGTCATTGGCTGTGATCGGTTGTGACGTCAATTCGCTGGTGAGACTACGCACCAGCCGGACGGTGGCATATGGAACCCATTAGGGAACGACAACGCTTTCGTGTTGGTGTCCGAAAGTTTTTCGTTTATTGATTATTGTTGATAACTTAAAGTGTTTTTTATTTTATATACTCGTAAATGAGGAACCCATTCCTAGGGAGACTGCAAAAAGATGGGTGTAAGTTGGAAGACTTAAAAATGTTTGCACGGTTAAGGCTGAAGTGACACCTGAACATAATGTTAACAAGAAACGACGGCTTTTATTTATTATCTGGTAACACCAGCCAAAAATAAACGTAAATAATATCCATGGAAAAGTCGCGGTATATATGTATATGTCACAACTTGAATTGTTTATTGCACTTAAATATTGGGTGTTCGATTTTGATATTTGGTATGCTTTACTTCAGTACATAAACAAATGTAATAAAGAAAAATGTTCAAGTTCCTTATTGGGACAAGTCAACAAAGAGCAATCGCGTTGTAAAGTTGGTTGCCAGCCAACACAACGAAATTAGGATACCACAATGAACGTAATCCCTTACATCAATCTTTACTCATTGGAATGTTTTGAAACAATTTTTGGTTAACATAATGGAATGAAACTAGAGATCAATTATCTTTCAATAATCATGAAAAAATAATTTAATATTATTAAGTACAATTCCTTTCAACATTTTCTAATTTAATTGTTATCTTGTTCAATTCCTAATTTTTCTTCAGAAATTGCTCCTTAATATTTATGTTGGGTCTACAAAATTTACTGCCAGTCTAGAGTACGTTTGAACAAAAATTAAGCATTGTTATATAGCACTTTATAAAAATGTTGAATAAATTTAAGAACAGATGAAGTAGGTAATAAAAAAATATAATAACCCAAAAGGATCATGCCGGTTTTAAATTGACGCGAATCCGCAGGCCAATCTTTGGAAAGCACCATGGTTTGAAACACACTACAATCACCACTCCATCCATTTGGGTTAGTGGATATCCCTTACAAAATGCACATGTACCAGGAAATGTGTGTCTGTTATTACTTCGACTAATGCACATATTTTTTGATTCGTTGTAAAATTGCTCTTCCGAACATATAGCGCGGTCGAACAGCTCGCGATTATCCAGTTGCAATCCAAAGAGAAGACTTTAAAACAAAATCGGACAATAGCAGCAACCCCTAACGTCGCGGAGACATTTCTGTGAAAATCAATTTTGGTTATAATTGTCACGTCTAAATCGTCATTGAAAACTCCATATTTCGTGATATTTGGTAAGCCTGAGTAAAGCTAAATATGAATGCAGTAACGCACTAATTTCGTTACTCATTACGTTTTGTATTTGGTGTAGTTAATTATTTGTTAACTATGTGAAATATTCTCATCACACAATCAAAAAGGAGAAATACAAAAAAAAATGGGTCAAACTATCTCGAATTCAACACAAAAGCAACTAATCTAAAATGAATTTATAGTCAAAATAAATTTAGCAATTAGCAAAAGCCTGTTCTCGTATACAGATATAGGCAATGAAAGAAAATATTCACTGCTGCACAACTCTTGCTGATATAAGGAACGCTTCCTCGAAGAAAATTTTCGGAATTTCTGCGTTCGTTATTTATTACCTACCCATTTCTGATCAACGTAAATGGAATAAAATAAGTATATTCTTAATAATTTAAGCGGTCGTATTTCATGCAATATGTCGGTTTCGCTATACCGAGTATAAAGCAAAATTATCGTTAATAGGAGAGCTTCATAATATAATAAAAAAATATGAAATATTCTTATATACCCTATTTTCGCGTAAAAAATATTAAAATATGCATTTAAAGTTATACTAAATTTCAGTATTTGGAACCTGACCTTATTGGTATTGACGTAATTTGTTGGTTAGCAGCAAACTGCAATAAAGCCTGCTAGTTAACCTGGATTACAGGCGGCACTGTTTCAAGGAAATATTCTGTTTGAATTTATGTTAATTTTGTCTTAATTTAATTTAAATTACGTTATATTCTATGCGATAATTTATTCCCAAACGTAATACTCAGATTAGAACAACAGTTGTCGATTATACCAAAATGCTATAGCTCTAGCGAAAATTCCAGGATTAACGGAAAATGGACTGCCAAGGCAGTGCTTATGTATCAGGTGCGTTCAAAAAGTAAGGAGTGAGTATTCATTTATTCATCAAAATTAATGTTGTCCCTTTCAAAGTAATCTCCTCCATATGTAATACACTTGTGCCAACTACTTTTCCAATCTTCGAAGCACTTTCTGGTATGGCCTTAAGTTTTTACAGCGATTTTTTCTTTATCTCCTCAATCGATCCAAACCTTCTTCCTTTCATGGGTTTCTTAAGTGTTGAATACAGGAAAAAGTCTCAGGGGGTCATATCCGGTGAATATGGTTAGTTAAAAGTTAGACACAAGCAACGATCACGATATCACGATAATGCAGCTGCATTATCGTGATATCGTGATATGAATTGTTTCCCCACAATTCTAGGCATTTTCTTCGTATTGCTTCTTGCAAATGAGGCATAACTTAAAGGTAATACTTTTTATTGACTGTACGACATTGTGGTAAGAACTCTTATTGATGTACTACGCTATAATCAAAGAAAACATTAAGCAAAACCTTGATCTTTGTTCGAACTTGACGTACTTTTTTCAGTCTTGGCGATTCTAGATTCTTCCATTGGGACGACAGCTTTGATTTTGATATGTTTATATACCCATGATTCGTCACTAGTTATGACCATTTGAGCATATCAGGATCATAATCGAAGTAATTTAACAGGGCCTGAACGATGCTGCTTCGACAGTGATTATGTTCAAAATTAAACAGTTCCGGAAAAATTTTTGCTGATACACGTTTCATACCCAAAACTTGGTTCGACGATTTTTCAATGCCATTTGTTTCCTTTCCTCAACGCTTTCATCGGTTATTGACCGTTGTCAACATTTCAAGTGTTTTGCAGCACTGTATTTCATTTTTTACACAAATTGTTTGTTCCATTTTTTTGATAGCATAAAATACACAAAACATGTCTAGCGCTTTTATCTCACAAAAAAAGTAAACGTGCAAACTGGCTGAAACTTGTTAGGGACTGCATACCAACATAACAAAAGAAAATATCTAGAATCGAATGTACGTAGCCAGCCAAATAACAATAGTCAACTTACTTTTTGAACACACCTCGTACATGCTAGGTTGTTGTTAGTAAAAACTTTTCCGCAAACCCGTGCTAGTTCACAAAAATTTCACGAAATTCATTCATTTTGGAAAACATGAATTTTTCTAATATTTATAATCGATTTTTTTAAAACCGTATTGTTGTTTTACAAAACTCTTTTAGTTCTGCAACTACAACTTCCTTCTTTTGTCATTTTGGGAAACTGTATAAAAGTTTCCTCGGCGTCTTTTTAAATTAGATCCTTTTATTATTCGACTCACCTGAGATTGACTAATGTAACAAAACCAAAGAAGACTATCTAACAAGTAACGCCCCGATGACAGCTGAATTCAAACAAATTTCTTTAATTTCCAGGTAGAAAAACAATCCAAAATCATTCGTACTAAAGGTATTTTGTTATCAAAGAAGTATCATTTGTAATGCATTTAGAAGTATTTTAGAAAAGCAACTGGTTCAAGCTTGATTTTTTTATCTTTGGTGCATGCCTGAAGAAACAACGTACCATTATGATGTCACTCAATATTTTGCTCTTTTATAACAGTTAATTTAGTTGAGAGGTAATATTCAACCCGATTACCAATTCAAATCGACACACGGAAATATATTATGCAACCATCTTTTCTAGGGTAATTTGTCGATTAGATCAATCTGCGGATCTGCCCCGACAGGTAAACTAGTAGTCAGAGCTTCTGTCACGACAGGCACCACGTAAGAACTAATGACGGCGGTTTGTGTTGCCCGCCTTCGGTAGAAAAAAAAGCGAGTTTATAAACCAAGCTAGTATTACCGCTAATGGAAATGGTATTTAGAAAATTTAAATGGAGTTTTGATACACATGAAATCGATACGAAATAAAGAAAAATTCAATGGCATGCGGTTTAATAATGGACACAAAAACAACCTCGCCAGTGGCGATCACGATTTTCTCCCGTAGCGAGGAAAGGTGTATTGTGTTTATCCTCTTTCGCTTCTCGTTCGGTATATAATGATAAGAGTGTGGGCTTCCTTTAGAGTTAATGCAACGTTATCTCGGGATCGTTCTCCGCCATTTTCGCAGCGAAACTATACCAGCGAAAGTGAATTTATATTGAGCTGGATGGGTTTTTATCTATGCTCTAAGGCAACATACTTTGCAAGTCTAACCTGTTTAGATAACTAAACGCAATTTCCTTCTCTTTAAATACAACAAAAGTTCCGTCAACTATAACCACCAAGCACGATCTAAGAAGCGATTGAAGACCACGTCATTTATTTTTTACTGCCGGGATCCTAAATTTCTTTAACAAAAGACACAAATACGGTTTAACACTCAGAAGAATCCTCCCCAGAACAGAACAGAAAGGGTTTTCTGCTTTTGCTCTCAGATCATATTCTTTGAATTCTGCGCAACTTTGCAAATCCAATGTGAAATTTTACGCACCTTCTTGGGGATAGTTAGCATCTTCCCAAATTTCAAAGCTCCATCCCCTCCCGGACCACAAACAAATTAAAACTTTTTTACACTATTAGAATCTTTGAATTTTGCGCAATTATGCGCCCTAGTTTGACTGCAACCACTAGAACGGGTTGAATTCTTTTTTGGCTCCTTTTTTTTCTAAAAACTAAACGAAACTGTTACAATAAGAGTCAAATAAAATGTTTTGAGTACCTACTATTAATTGATTTTAAAAAAACCAAGCGTAAAATATAGTCCAAGACGTAAATAAAATTTCCCTTTCGACATACCAAACGACAACATTTTTTGTGAAAAAGCCAACTTCTACGGGTCGACGAAATATGTTGTCGAAGATGTTTTCACATATGTCTATAAATTCTGTTTAGATTTCATGGGTACGAAGTGAACAACAAATTTTAGCGTTAAAACTACCAATTCAACTCAATTCAACTTTGAGGTGATCCTGACAAAGACGCAAAAGGTTATAAGGTTCGATAAAGAAAAATTTGGGTTTTTTTTAATCCCCTCCTTTGCCCATAATATCCAGACAAAGAAACCAAGACCATAAAAATTATGTTTTCTTGGTCCTTTTTTTAACAGCGGAAAACTATACAGCAATATAAAAACACTAGCTATAACGCGATTGTTGCGCCGTGAAAATTGTCTCAGTCTTAAATACTGCAACCGGAACAGCACTCAAAACAGATATCTATGCCGTTCGAGGAATTTATCGCAAACAATTCGAATAACTTTTGTTTTTAACGCAATGTTCCGTGAAGAAATGGAACCTAAAGATCGTTATGGAAGGTTTCACTTCCTTATATTCTTTAATTGTATATTATTTAGCAATTAGACTTGAGGTGTCTGTATAGTTTATTATTTGCTCGACTATACGTTTGTTTTAAAACACTATCGGGGTTATGGCGAGAATACTCCGATTACGGATCCATTTGTCATTTTCAACGTTATAGACTGCTCGAAAAAGAATGCTAATATCATACTTTTATAATTTACAGCCGCGAGACCGGGAAACGTCTGCTACAGCAACGCCCATTGTCAGTTATGGACAGCGGATAGCCATTGCGACTTCCTCATTCCTAATCTCTTCGGGAGATGTCAGTGTAACAATCCGTTCAAGCAGGTGAGATCACATAACAAACACCAATACGGTTTTTTTCTTATAATACCAACGAATGAATGATTGGGGCACTTGCAAATCAGTATCATTCACATTTTTAAAGGAGCCACTACATATGATATGCATAAAAATGTGGATATACCTAAGCTCCAACTTATGAGTGCTTGCTCTTTCGATGACAATGTAATCGTTCATTGAGTACCGATTTTTATTATTATATGCATAAATGCGAGCGTTTAATGCGTCCACTGAGTATCTAATTTCAAAAATTCGACGCTCCTTACGTGATGGCCGAATTTATGCCTATTTGTCAGCGTAAGGTGTTTAAGATTCGTTGGGAATCAAGGCAAGTAGACATCGTGCCTTATATCGATTTAGGAGAACTAATGTTCAGGGCATAACTAACCAATTTTTTTGAGATACTGAATAATATAGGGGCGGAGCGTTGAGTAATGAAGAAAGAATGAGGGTTTTTTACGTTATGTTGGTATCGTGCACAAATCAAATGTTTGAATCAAATTTCCATCCTTACTTGAAGATATGCTAAGACATGCCTGAAGAATGCTAAAACTAGCTGGTAAGAGAAGTTTCAATTTCCTTCTGCTTTTGGTGCTATAGACTGTACTGTATATTCAGTGGATAACTCACCATTTTCTTGGAGATACTGAAGGATATAGGAGCGAAGAGTTTAGAAAAAATGAGAGTTTTTTACGTCATGTTGTTATGGCGTAGCAGAAGATATTGGTGCTCATCAATCGACGGTATCGTGCAGAAATCAAATGTGTAGGTCAAATTTCCATTCTTACATGAAGATCCATGGAATGCTAAAAATAAGTGACAAGAAAAGTTTTCCTTCGGCTATTTGTGCTCTAGACTGCGCTCGTTTTCCTATATTGAAACTGTCTATTCACGGAGACGAATATATTAACTGAAAAAACTTTGCAACTCAAATGAAGAGTTTACAAGTATGGATGTCTCTTGGCCAGGATCTGTACACAAATCTAGAATATGGAAAAATTTGGATATACACAACGTCATGCAATGGAATAGGGTTGGCGCTCTTTTGCTGGAAGAATTTGGGTATGATATAGCTCTGTGACTCATGACTCCTTTTAGGGTTGTAGATACAAAGGTAGTTACAAAGGTAACAAGGGTTATACAATACGCAGTTAACAAGAGAGCAGTTATAATAGAGAAATAGTTCGGCCAATTAAAACAGCGTTTTCCCATACAATACGAAACGAAATAGGTATATTAACTCTGCTAAACCGATATCATGCACGATAGTTTACTTCCTAAAATTCTATACGAACCTGAAACACCTTGCGCTAAAAATATAGGCATAAATTCGGTCATCGTAAACGGGATATCAATAATTATTATGAAGCTGAGTCTACTACTAAGGAGCCTTGCATTTTTGAAAGTGGTGGGAGTATAAAAAAAAAAGTCGGTACTTCCTCGCGGAAAGTTGGAGCTTACACGGAGTGCAGTCTGTAAAAATGTGAGTAAAAAGTTAACTGCTGCTACTTTCAACGCATCAACAAATTTGAAAAAAATTCATCGTGAATTTTTATTCATCAAAGTTTGACTCATCCACTATTCTTAATTCGAAAACATAGCTGCAATTATGTTATCAATGTTTTTATTTTAATTCGCCAAAAAATATCAGCTTTTCGATCTCATCAATTTCCGTCGGGTTATTCTTTTTGTTTACAGCAAAAACATGAACCTTAAATTTGAAAAATTGTTTGTACAATTTCAAATCAATTTTTTATAATTCATTCATTTCTAGAGTAAACCTTGAACTTGCATTAGCAACAATTAAAAAAACCTAAACAATTTTTAACAAATTAATTGTGCAAAAAATATTGAATATTTTTACTTCAAATTTCCATTCCATTCAACAGTCATCTTATACTGTTTTTTGTAACAACATAAACATAACATCTCATTTTGTGGGTATGCTCAAGTCCTATAACTTTTGTGAAAAACTTTTATTCGAATAAAATCAAGCTTCAACTCCAAATCAAAAAAACTGTTTTCGTGTAATTAATAAACAAATACTTGCCCAAATTTCAAAGCAATACAATTCGTTCCTACTATTGTCCTCAAACCTAAGTCGAAGTCTGAAATCAGGTACCAGTTTCTTTGAAAACCACCACTATTAATTCGGCTAGACTATTAATTTTCACATTGTTCGTTGGATTGTTATTTCCACATATGCAGGTTGCTGACTCGTGTGTTCGGTCGGCGTTTCAAAGCAAACCAACGCCTTCAACGACAGACTCAAGAGTTATTACTTCTTCTACTTCTGCTTGGCTCACATCTGCGACTACACCATCCACTACGGTCCCTACATCGACAAAGTTCGCAAAGAATACGGGGTCTCCTTCAACTACGACGTCATCCTCGACGACTGTGGACCCGGACATCGAAACAAATGTTATAAACAAACCAAAAATTCCGTTAAGGAAACGGCCACCTTTCCTGAGAGGAGGCGCCTCCTCAACCCTTAAGGTATACTAGACCAGGCCAATCATAATGTTAATAATTATGCACATATGTCCGTTTTATAAGTTTTTATTCCTAATCTTTGAAAATACATTTGAAAAGAAATTGCAGAAATTAAAATAATTTGGGTATTATCAACTCACAAAATAGTGAAAGATTTGAGCAACTGGTTTTAGATCTTTTATTCTTATATTGTTCCAAACTTAGCAAAAAATTAAAATGTCTCAAAAACTACAAACATAACTCAAATAAATCGTGATTTAATTAATTTCAAATACAGAGTCTACTCTAATCGGATTACATAGTTTTGGAATGAAGGGGTATTATGGAATGCCTTAGAAAAGGTAATTAAAAACATAAACTCTAAAATGTAAAGTGGAATATATATGTGCTGTAATGGATTACAAGATAATCTACGTCTCCATATCATTACATTGGATTCACGAATGCCTAAACCTCGATTTCAGCTCAGCCCATCGTCATCCACAACGGAAATGGTACCTACCAGGAAAATTCATTCTACGCCAGCACCCGTAGATGTCAGCACTCGGATAAACATAGCCAATAGAGTCACTACCATGGAGCCGCCCTCGACAGCTTCGCAAATCATAATGTTTTCCGCTACATCAACAACCAGTAGGTGACTTTTGACCATGTTTTATATATTTTCGAATTATTTTCAGGTATTCAAAAAATAATTATCGAATTTGCACGCTGTTGGTAATACACAATTGTGTTAAATCTGACTGAATAATAACTCAAGAACTTATTTTAGAAAGTTGAGAAAAAAAACAGTATAATACGTGATAATAAATGAGATTCTGATCAATGCCTACAAAAAATATTTCTTCGTTCGTTCGAGATTAAATGTACAATTTATGCGAAGAGTCAATCCCATATCAAATACCAAATATACCATTACAAAAGGAAGAGTTTTTTCGACGTTTTTGGTTAAAAAATGAAGAATAAAGGAAAAAAACAACCTAAAACAAATGTTACTTTTCGATAACAAAATAATTTTGTAAAAAAAGAAACAAGTAAATGAGATTAAATCAGAAAAACTGAAGTAGTGCGGATTTTCAGTTTATTGAAACGTTGCAAAAAAGAGGAAATTTTTTAAAAAACTCTCATACTATTTGCAAATCTTCTGGATTCCTCCTGAGTTGGTTGTTTATAAATCAAACTTGCTCACGATTCCTATTGGCTCTTTCCGAGTTTAACTGTGGCTGTAGCTGTTTATATATTGTTTGAGGGGAGCGGAGCTAAAGGATAGGTATAAACAGTGTCTTGAATGACTAATTCCCATACTGGTGGTTAAGACTGTTTGGTCGCTTATCGGTTTCTACACACTATTGAATTTTTCACTGGTAGATGATTTGATAACATGCAAGAATTTATGTTTTATCGAATACGATTTGATGTCTCGTGTGGTGATCGTGTTCGGCAATAGTTATTGAATTTATTTGCCTTAGTTTTAATACTCATTCATATTTTTTAAGCCTCTTTCATATTTTTCGTCCGGTCTCTCCAATGTATTCTTTGTCCCATATGCATGGGATCCTGTAAACTCCTAGTATTTCAAAGAAGTGGACAAGTGGTAAATCCGGATCTGACGCAATATTTCTTAAGTACTTTTAATATGTGGTCAGTGATGTTTTGAATATAAGGAAGAACAACAGAGGAAGGTTCAGACTTATTGTCTTTGGAAGGTTGGTGAAGTGCATTTTTTGATGGAAAGCTTAATATCTCTAATGTGGAAATTATTAGTGACAAGAGCAGGTGCTTTAATTCTAGGTTCAGTTGATAACCGATGATTTTTGCAAGTGCAACGCATTAAGGAATCGGTATGTGTGCGTAGGTTTTCTGTAAACAAAATGTCCCAAGTTTAGGTCTGATTTTCTATTGCTAAAAATGTTGAGATGTGAATTTGGGAGATTATTATTCGTTTCTAATTCAATGCTAAAACGGAAAATTTCGGAAGGATTCTAGACCATAAAGCTAAATAACAAAAGTATCATCAACGTAGCGTTTCCATAATTTTGATTTTAGATTCAAGGTGTCGAGGGCATTGCACTCAAAGGTATATATTTGCGATGACTGGTGATAATGAAGAACCCGTTGCTGTTCCCGACGTTGTTCATTAATTTTACGATTGCAAACAAAAATATGTTCCAGAGAAGCAATATTCCTTCGTTATTTCAAAAAAAAAATGCAAAGTTTCGGATAGTTAAATATACATGACGTTAAAATTTGAAACATTTTTTCATATTAATATATTAATAATCCTCTATCCGATTTTATTAAAATTCCGGGAATGGTTTAAAGTAATAATAATAACAATAAGGTGGAAATTATCAATTCCAGTGGTGTTATTAAACAAATGTGCCCCACTCACTTTTTTTCGTGTGTTGTATTTTTGTGGTATTAAACCAGAAAAGACAATGTTTTTGTCCCAAGCCATTTTTGAAATAATAAAATGGAAAATAAATTGAGCAGATTTCTTCAAAGTGTGAGCAGCGTCGTTTTTCCAATGAATTTACTCCGTTATTTATTTATTTTTTAAATCTTCACCAAACGGTTTGCCTTGACCTTTACGTAGGCGAATTGAAAATAGTAGCTCTAACAATATTTGTTAACTATTTTCCAGCTATCGCTCCGACGACAGGGATAAGAACCAGGGTTGAAAATACGTTCGAAGCGGTCAGTTTGGGATTGCCGTGCGTTACAGATTTACAATGCCGTGCAGCCGATCCATCATCTAGGTGCATGGAAGGCGTATGCGATTGTCTAGTTAAAACAAATGAAACGATCGCCTGCTCGGCAAGAAATCGAGGCTGCATACCAGGAACATTCCAGGTTGGTATTAGATACTATATGTTTATGGTCAATTAGCATTAAAGATTAACTACTTACTTTGCGATGATAGAAACGATTGGCAACCATAACGTATACTTTCTCTCTTTTTTTTAAATGTTGAATAAATGTATCTCAATTGAATGCATAAATGCGAGAAATATGTTGAACGATTCATGACAAAAATTTATAGACTCACATTTTAATATTCAAGAATTATTTAGTTCTACATAAAAGATGACTATTAATAGATAATCGTGAAAGATTGAAATTTATACATTAAGTATCGATTTTGAAGCTTCCTTTCATAATTTTTAAATGTTCTCTTATTTTTCTTATCGTTTAGCTTTCATTAATTTTTTTATTGATGTGATTTATTTTCATTTATAATATGTATTAAAAGAATATTTTTTACTACACAATCTTCATCCACATAATTTTACGCGATTTTAATAAACATTTGTGGACAGGGAATATTCAAATTGTCAATAAGGATATTTTTTACATTTTCTTCTTCTTCTTTTTTCTCCTTGACCTCAGTGGACATTGGCCATTATTATGGTCCATCTAATATTATTTGCTGCAGCACTACAATAAATCCACAGATGAAATGTTAGTTATCTTTTTACATATTCAACGAATTCGCATATTTTTTCAACGATATCGATTTTTATTTTCTAATATACTGATCGAAAATAACCTCTCAACATATTTGCGAGCTTATTCCATTATACTTAGCGAACGCAAAGAATACTGGGAGAAATTGTCCTCAGTGGACATTAGCGATTTTTATGACCCATCTAATAGTATTTACTAGAGCTGACAATAAATTAATTTATTTTTTTACATAGGCAACGAATTAGCATAATTTTTCAACGATATCGATTTTTATTTTTAAATATGCTAATCGGAAATAGCCTTTCGATATATTTCCGAGCTTATTCCATTATACTTAGCGAACGCAAAGTACACTGGGAGAAATTGTCAACTTCAATAAGAACCCTGCTAACCCATAAAATCTGTATTTAAAAATGAAATTTAGTCATTTAGTCAACACCGTCATTTTGAAAAGGATTTTTTTGTTTTTAAAAACATTTGTTTAATGAAAAAAATTATTGGCTAATTTGTTCGTCTTCGGCTGGACACTGTTATTTAGACTTTTTTTCACAAATTCTTGTTTTTTTTTTTTAAATAATGTTAGTTATTTCAGTTACATAGTTTTCGCATACGTTGGTTTTGATTAGTTTAGTTGCGGGTACTTTGAAGTTTAAGAATTTGAAATCTTTTGAAATTTGCTGTGAGAGAGAATTTTAAAAGGTGCTGATATATCAAAACGACGTTTTTAACAATATTTAATTAAGGGTTTAATTTAATTTAAATTTTTATTTTTTTGAATTGAGATTGAAATTTAAAAATTATAAAATTTTGACTGTTACTTTTTTGTGTTAAAATAATAATTTAGAAAATGTATGCAAACAATTTTTTTGGTGTCAATAATGTGTTGTTCCCTAACAACATATGTCTTGCAGTCGTGAAGAACTATTAATATAGAAAAATTTTCTTTTTGAGACTATTCATAAAACTGATTTTTATATACGTACAAAAAACAGAAATAGCAGAATAATAATAGAACAGATCTATCAAACAAATAACGGTTTTTCCATAACATACCTTCGCCGAATTGAATAAGGTCTCCCCATAATTTTGCAGCCATCAAGTGTAAAATATCGAACGTTAACGTTAAATTTCTATTAGCGAAGTACGCGTCGTACCAGACAGTACCATAAATCACGGTACTGGTGTGGTGGTACCTCGCAAGCAATCGCCGGGAAATAATTTGCAACTCCTACGTCAGTATAACAGGAAAGATTTAAGTTATTTAGCAATTAACTTTAAATTTGACTATTTATATTCCCTAGGGTTCGTCTTTTGCTTGTTCTAAGCAATATCTCGTCAGATTTTCACGTACCGTTAACTTTTCAATGCATAGTACCGCTAATGTTATACCGCGCAATTTTTATATAACGGAACACACCCCCTCGTTGACATATGCGTTTTACGAACTTGTGATCGCTGCTGAAAATAGGCATTGCGAAAGTATAGATCACACGTTCGAAACCATCACATTATTACCATATTTACAGTTTACTTTTTCAGTTTTCTTTTAGTTTCTTCTTTCACTTACAATAAAATAAAAATCACTTGAGACACTTTATTTGAACGATAAAGAATAAGGCAGTTTTAGAAGCAAGAAACTATGTCAAATAAGTTTCCATACACTTTCATAAATCGCTATTCAGAACTCCAGCTAGAACCGTTAATTATCAATATTTTATCAAGTGAGCTTGTATCAAATTTCGCTTAAACAAATGAGTTATACTTGTTTATTTTTGACACCACTTCTAAGTCAATGGTTTTCAGCCCTAAATATTGTGAAATTCCAATCGCACTTCGAAAAATCATAGTAGGTTTATGGAGAGAGAAAAAGTCCTTAGAGATATTGATAAAATAATTAAATAATCACATTCAATAGTATGCAATCAATAAATACAAATCCACTGGATCTTATGTGTGGCCACTAGTTTTCTGTTGTGAAAAAAATTATAATTAATTCTAAAACCATCCTAAAAATAATTTAAACCAAAGTGTTGAAAAACTTGAAAGTGTTTCAAACGTTTTTATTTTATTTTTATTACTCTCAATGAGATTGCCGATATTTACTTGAAATACATTTCTCACTAAATGTAAGTGAAAGAAAAACTAAAAGAAAACTGAAAAAGTACTATGTATACGGAGACTTTTTTGACCGACTTTATATTTACTTTCAATTATAGTGCAGGAGCACTGGTACATGTATCAGTTGGTTCTTCGTTTGCGATGGAAGAAAAGATTGCTCAGACGGATCTGATGAAGACTGCAAGTCGTACAAATGCCCCAGTGAAGCTTTCAGGTGCAAATCGTCAGGAAAATGTATATCACGCGCCAACAGGTGCGACGGAGTCAGAGATTGTAATGGAGGTAATGAATAAGATCCTTTTGGTTAATTGGGCAAGGTTGCTGGTACCCGAATTTTGAAAATTGGAACGAAAAAATCAAAATGGATGAGTAGGCCTTTAGTAGAAGAATCGTTCACTAGAAATAATTCCCTTTCCGCGCTCAGTACAAGTTGTGGTGTATATTCTACATAAATAATTTTGTATTTTTTTCTACAAAAGTATTATATTTGACATAGCCAACAATGCTTCCACGTTCAGCTCAAAGTACGATATTCACCAAAGCTTTTTCGTATAACCTTTAGGCGAAGACGAAGTGGATTGTCAAGCTCTTGGAAAAAGGAAATGTCCGCCAGACACATTCCAATGTTCAGACGGAAAGTGTTTGCCCGAATACGAATTCTGTAACGCGATAATTGGCTGCAGCGATGGAAGTGATGAACCAGCACACATATGCAGAGGTAGGGCGAGAAGGAGGATATCGGGCTACTGCCCTCTCAGGTGTGGAAACGGCAGATGTAGATCGACGGCTATAGCGTGCTCTGGAAGAGACGGTTGTGGTGATGGCACTGACGAGAGTCATTGTTCAGTCTGCAGTAAGTATTTGCTACATTTTAGTGCTTCCATGCTTCCAGAAGGCCTGCCCTACAAGTACTGTTGTACTGCGGGCGTCGATTTCTCTCTATAATTAAGACTTTCAATTTCCCCAATGTCTTTGAACTCTCCCCACAAAAAGAGTATTCTTTTGCTCATTGTCTGTAATTGAAATAGACAGTTTTGCCGTTGATCTGAATACCTACATGGTCGAAAGGCGACATTCCTCCAATGTCAAGTGACGCGATAGTTCAGAGATCAGATTATGGAACAGTTATTATGTGCTTGAAATGCAGATAGTAAGCACGGATTTCTGTTCCATCCCTGTTTCTGTTAGGTCAATTAATTAGGTTTTGACAATGATAAAGTTTACCTTTCAGGGTGTCCTATCGCGCAAGGCAGGAGTTTATAGTGTGTAATAACGGGAAGTTATACCATGCCAAAAATTTTGTAAATTTTTTATCGTCTCTCAGCTATAAAGTAGACTAATATTTACGATTAAGCGATAAGCTAGGCCTAGATGTAGTAGGTTTTCATTTAATGCTCAAGATTATTAATGTACGTTATACATAGATTTATTTATTTATTTACACAAATATTATGGTACAAGTACATATAAAAACATTATGTTAGTGACTTAGATATAAATAAAGTGGATTAAAAATATCATGCATTTTTTATTGGTTGAACTGACACTTTTACGAATTTTTGATTGCGAAATATGTGACCATAGACCTTCAATTTAATAATCTGTTATGCCGCAAGTTTTATAAACTACACTTTTGTAACGAGTTTGTTTAGCCACCAGAATCTACCCTCTGAAATCAATGTCCATGTTTAGCCAAAAGGGCATCAGCGGACCTATAAAAGAAATTTTTAAAAGAATAAAATAATTTACATAAATTTATCAATGTACGCATATACAGGGTGAGTCAACGATAAAGTTGAGTATCCCATTGGTTTCTAAAGAAGAAAATGGATTCAAAAGTTATCAACATTCTTAGTATGCACAAATTCCAAATTATTTTAAAGTATACAGGGTGAGTCAAAAAAGCATGATTAAAAAAACATACATTTTTAAAATGAAAACATTTATTTTTAATTTTTGTTTTAATTTCCTTTAGAATTCTTCAACTTTTTATTAATAGTACGCACTTCAGGGTGATCAAAATGAACGAATATATTTGGATTATTTTAAATTGAAAAATTTCTTAAATGACGCACCATATACTTCGTTACTTTTTCTGAACGATCTTACCAATATCTTTAATTATTTATTTTAACTTTTTCAATATTTACCCTTCTTTCTGTCCAAGACTATTGCTTTAACACTAGTTTGACCTTGACAAAGTTACATTGTCAAATTTTTACCTGACAACTAAGTAAATAAATTCATAAAATTTATTATGGAGTCAGTAAATAAAAAAAAAGTATGGATTTTCCTAAAATCTAATTCATTGATAGGATTTGACGAAGAAAAAGCTTTGTTGATAATAAGACTTTACAAGGTGCAGTACCCTAATATACCTTAACTTCTTCAGCAAGTTGAAGCTCCTCCCCATTACCATCGAGAAGTGGGAGAACTTTGTATATATATATATATATATATATATATATATATATATATATATATATATATATATATATATATATATATATATATATATATATATATATATATATATATATATATATATATATATATATATATATATATATATATATATATATCCTAGTAGAAAGGCATATATTTGAACATTTATCGCGACAGAATAATAATTAAAAATAAGATTAATTATCTAGTGGTAGATAATTTATTATGTATTATTTTTTCTGTAAATTTACAATTTGGCCGTTCTTTTCATCCAAATTGGCTGGTCCAGCAAAGTTCTTTCTCCGGTTCGTATTTTAAAATTAATAGTTGGCAAAGTTTTGTCATGGCCAACTAATATTATAGCAATAGTCTTAGACAGAGAGAGAAAACGGCAAAACAGAGTTTAAATATTAATAAAAGTTTTTATATCTTTCAGAAAAAATAATAATACAGATGGTGTGCTATTGAAGAAAACTGAGATTTTTCAATCTAAAATGGTTCCAATATATTCGTTTATTTTAAAAACCATTTAGCATATAATTTAAATTCCGTTACATATACCTTTTACGTCTTTTACTTCGAAAAACACTAATATCAAATATAAGTGACCTACCTTCAAAAATAATGGCGCTATCGTACTTGTTTTGTAAGTGTTTTTTTAGAAAAATTAAAATATTGGAAGCACTGTTATGATTAGGTACGTATTATTATTAATAAAACATATAACGAATTTTAAAAGAAATTTTGAACAAAAGTTAAAAATAGATTGTTCCATTTAAAAAAATCTATATTTTATTCGTCACGCTTTTTTGAGTATAGTTTAAAATCTGAACAATTTTTGTATTTATCATTTTCTCAAAACTTTTGGAAGCAATGAGATAATGATCTTTATTTTACCGTTCACTCACCCTGTTCAAAGACAACTTAAATGCAGACAGACACAAACTGGAATAAAACCGAATCAGTTTGATTTAACCGAAATCTAAAATTTGGGAATATAAAAATTAATACCGACTCAAAGTTGAAAACGTCATTAAACTCTTTATGGATTTGATGATTTCTAATTTGTACAAAAGATCAAGTAATTTACTCTTTGGGAAAAGCGGAATTGATCTTTGTCAGTCTTATTATACATTTTCACCAAATTAATATGTTATATATAAACTGCATCACAATCCCTACAGGTTTATTTCATAATTGCCTTAGTGTATTCTTTGTTTTAAATACAACTGCTCTTGAACTTAGAGAGGTGTAGTGAAATATTGCCAAAGAAGATCAAACCTGAAAGTTTTGATTTTTTATACGATATGATAATTTCTATTTGTTGACGAATTTTTTAATTAATTTATTGATAAAACGAAGTGCATATCCTTAATTTATGAGAAAAGGGAGAAATGGAGGAAAATTGTATTTCATTGTCATTAGCAGTAAACTTTTAAAAATCTCGAAATCAATTCATTTACCTTTTCTAACTAATCCAAGATCGAGAAACGATTAGGGTCCCCTGACTTCTCCCTCGAATGTAAAATAAATGTTCTCATGTTAGGAATTAATAAACATTTGGCTTTCTCTAAGCGTTTGTTGACTGCCATTCCAGACAAGGCAGATATCGTACACATATTTTTTGTAAGGTACTGAATATACGGAGAATTGACTATCCATATATTTCCCTCAAGATTGTTCATGAAAATTTCTCTTAAAAAAAGGTGAAACGCAAGATCTCATTGATGTTCCTGTAGTCTTAGTCTTAAAACAGTCGTCAAAAGACCTAGATCATTGATGACAATTTTTGGAAACTCAATGCACTCAGATGGTGATACGCTTGGCAATACATTTTTAACATCAAGAGAAATCACCAAAGCACTGTCTGCCTAGATATATCAATATTCTTCGAGTAACTGATCACGTCAGTTGGTAACTAAATTTATGTAACTTATTTTATTCTTTTATAGGTCAGATGATGCATAATGCCAATCTTTATAGTATTGTAAAAAACCAAGTGTCTTCGAGGATAGGTTTTCAGTTTATCAACATGTTGCGCTAAAATCTACCGAAACATTCAATCGCTTTAAAACCCGTGACTAAAGTCTTGGCTTGCGACATTGAGTAACCAACCTGACATCTTAAAAAAAGTTAGAGTATGAAAAAAAACCAAAATATATTCAAAATAATAAAACTTTTCACTCAAACAACAAGCAAATAGGATGTAAAGTATAACATGCAATTGAATGAAATCTTTATCCGTTTTACAAATACAAGCGCTAAAGCCTTGACTCTGCTCAGATAGGTTTTGGGTGCATTTTGGTCTGGCAATTATCACATTAACCTTTCGAACTCCGAAGATAGCAATTGTTTGACAGAAAATGCTCTCTCGCATTCTCGAAAAATGCGTAGTTTATCAACGCCTAAAAACATATCCGCATTAGCAATGCTGTAACGTTATTCATTCGTGTTAATTGATTTCGATAAATCAGCTAACTGTTACCTGTGAATATGGCACACTTTAACCTATTCTTTCTATCAGTGATACATCTGGTCAAAATATCCCTTCAGGAAGGTAAATATATATTTTTGGTTAAGTTCAAACTTGTTACACTTCGATTTTTTATTCTTTAGAAAATTACATAGTTCGCACGGATTCGTGTGCCATTCCAAATATCCCAGCGCAGATATCCGAATTTTGGCAGTACCCTTTAAACTCCACCGAGCCAATGAAATGTTCAGTTTACGACGAGCTACTCAGCTATGTTACGAAAGAAAACAACGTTGCCACTCTAAGGTTGAGAACCGACCTCATAGCGGATATTTACGGGTCGGAAAGTGCCTTAAATTGTTGCTATAGCCTTTTGTATCGCAACGGAACGGAAGAAGTGCCAGATGAAGGCGTAGTGTAAGTAAGACTCTTAATCCGATACGGATAGATTCAGCACTGATAATTTTGCCAGATTAGCAGACTCGGTTTACAAGTTTTGATTTTGATCATTTATAGTTTTATATTGTTTGCTAACTAACGTCCTGTTCCAAAATAACGCACCACCTATACTTCAATTACTTGTTCTCATTTAAAATTAATTACCTTATGTCAAGTAAATGTTTTTGTTAGTTATTTACTGTTAGAGTTAAATACTTCGCTTACGTAATATTTCCCAGCTTGATTAGTGTATTGTTCAATATTTAACAACTTCGTTACGCACAGATGAATCGTGTACGCCATTTAAGTAATGATGAATGCGCAAGAGCTTCAAATTTGCTAGAAGAGTAGAGAAGTATGCGTTATGTAGAAAATTTACTGGTGGAAAATAACATGGGAAACGTGGTTCGAGGAGAAAAAGGCTACAAATCAAAGCGATGAACGATTTCTCCTCCAATAGGTATTACGAAACAAAAATTGACTAAGTAATCAACTCAAAACCCCCAGAAATGCAGTCTTCCTGCTTATTGCAGACCATAAATCGCGCAGATTACGATTCCGCTACAGATCATGGACTGTGGAAGTGTAAAAGAGTTTTGTTCATAGATGAAACTTGAGCCAGCCTAAATTCTTCAGTTTTCAAAGAACTGGAGAAATATTTTATGATTTTACTATCTCTCCAATGGTGATCCCTATACGTCTGAGATTTATTAATATAGAATTCTATCTCGAAAACATTATTCAAGACGACATTTCCGCTGGGGGACTACCAGGCAGCCCACACTTAAATCCAATAGAGGACCTTCAGGATGTTTATTTAATATTTCGGCGTCATGCATCCGCTTCAATTAGCCTGCAAGAGCTAGAGCATATTGTTCTCTTGGAATGGAAAAACATTGCTTAAGCAACCATCAAAAGATAATAAAAAGATTGCGTCGAATTCGAGCATTTATAAATTCATAATTTTTTTGTAAATTGAATCTTCTCTTTATTTGTAAATTTAAATAGATTTCTTTAATTTTTAAGTTTATGTACCTGATCGTCAAATCTTGTATACTTTTCCGAACTTTAACTAACAATTAAATAATTTCTGGTTAAACATTGTGTAATTATACCTATTATATTATAATAGGTATAATATAAATAAAGATGGTGCGTTAATTTTGAACAGGAGTCCATTATTTTTCATTACTTTTTGAATTGAAAAATTGGTTAGTCTTTTATTCTCTTATTAAGTTCATTTACGTTAAGTTAGTTAATTAAATTAATTTCTCTGATGAAATGACCCTCCCGCTTACCTGACATTTTAGTACATCTCAATGTATTCCGTTCCGAAAGAAAGTACCTCTGCAGCACCACCTCGTGTGGGTTAAATGCAACCTAGCATACGCACCGACCACTCTGGCATACGAAAATATACATCAAGTTATCACAATCACCGAAGAAGTCGAAAGGAAAGGTAGATCTCTAAAAACAAGAGCGCAACCCATCAGTATTTTATTTGTGGTCCTGGACGGAGTTTCCCGCCTCAACTTCGTAAGGACCATGCCAGAAACCAGGAAATATATTTTAGAAAATAAATTTTACGAATTTAAAGGTTACAATAAAGTGCACGACAATACATTTCCAAATTTTATGGCTTGGTTGAGCGGGATGAATTTGACAGATTCGATTCAGGTCTGCAAACCTAAAGAAGTTGAAGGACTTTCGAACTGTCCTCTAATTTGGAACACGTTTAGACGATCGGGTTACGCGACGGCTTATGCTGAGGATTGGTCATCTATATCAACGTTTAACTATTTAAAGAAAGGGTTCAAGTATCCACCAACAGATTATTACTTTAAACCCTACATTGATGCAACTGATGGGCTATACATTCAGTACCAAGATACAATGCCATTTTGTACTGGACCCGTATCTGCAGGTAAATTAAATCATTTGCTTTACTACTATTTATTAATATTTTTTCTATTAGGCAAGAGGTCGCAATTTTGTTTTTCTAAGTCTTCTACACTTAGTCTTTAATAAAGAATCACAAATAATAACAGTAACTCAAAAGCCGTCGAATTTTAGCTACTATAGTCATACTATAGTTACTATTCAAAAGTTGCTAATATTTAAGACCAAATAAAAAAATATACAAAAATGTTATATATATATGTCCCTCTATATCTGCATTAGCTTGAATTATTATGCAAAAACAATAATATTCTTCTAGGAATAAAATACCATACATTTTGAATAACTGAAGATATTTTTTAACAAACAAGGCCTATACCTTCACAATGTTCGGAGAAATCCTTTATTTGATTTGTATATTTAAAACATTTTTTCCAACTCAAAATTTTGGTGAAAATATGCATGTCATTTTCCATCGTTCCCCTTTAAGGTGAAAGAATATTAAATTTGGCCGAAGATTTTACAAGGACCATGAGAGGGTTGCCGAGTTTCGGTGTATTTTGGATGAACACATTTAGTCACAATAACATGAACACAACTCGAAAAATGGATTCCAGAATGAAACGATTTTTTGAAACGCTCAAAAGCGATGGAGTTTTAGACGAAAACGTTGTGATCTTTTTGAGCGATCACGGCAACAGGTTCGGAAATTTAATCGGAACTCCGAGGGGTTTTTTCGAGGAAAGACTTCCGATGAACTACATATCTCTGCCAACATGGTTTAGAAATAAATTCACAAAAGAGAGCAAGAATTTCCAAGAAAACGCCAACAAACTAACGAGTACCTACGACCTATACGTAACCCTTCAGCACTTAATAGTACTTTCTGGATTAGATTATACCATTAAAACTAGTAGAGCCTGTTCTACTTGTCAGTCACTATTTCAAGAATTGCCTGTCGACAGGGGTTGTCCACATGCAGGTATGGAAGTTGCCGTAGTTACTTTACACAAGATTGAGTGAGTGTCGTATTAAAAGTCCGACAGAACTAACTAAAAGAAATCAATATTTTAAAAATGTTTCTTTAAACTCATCGTTGTTAGATTCACCCGAAACCAATAGCAAATTTAAACAGATATGTAATATTACACGAGTGCTTTTCATGTGCAAAAATAGTTTATTATTCAACAAGTGTGGTATAAACGGAATTTGAGTCACGAATGTATTTGACACGAGCGAAGCGAGTGCTTAATAAACAATTGACTTAAAAATCCAAAAAAACGCTTTACATTCGACCATTAGTTTTTCGAGAAATTTTTTGCAAAACAATGCGACCACATTCACTGATATGGCCGTCAGAATTGACAAACCTCAAAGTTCAAGCTGTGGTGCAAAATCTCGGAAAACAACCGATTGTTCTCAAACCCCTGCGGTAATATGCCGGAAATGTCCGAAGCAGCTCGGATCCACGATAAACGAAACTGATGTAATAAAATAAATACTTACCGCACTCTATAATAAAGTTAACAACATAATGTTGATTGAGACCAATCTGGAATTAACTATGTAAAGTTCACATGAAATTGCAAGGTTGCCACTGGTTACGGGTATATTTGGCAACCTGCATTTCCGAAAATATTTCTATTGGCCACTTTTTCAATTCGGTTTGGTACCTATAAAAACTAAATTACCAAAATATATTTTACACAAACCAAATTCCTTTGATTTTAGCACATTAGTTCGAATTTTACAAAAAGGAAAACTAATGCCTAATTCTGAGAAAACTCATTTTCATATACATTTTTTTTGATAAAATTGGAATAAATGTACAAGAAGGAAATGCTAAAATAAATTTATAAATAGCACTCTGTAGGCAGAACTGAATTCCAAAGAAGCTCATTTTCATGTAACTTCATTTTTTTTTAAACCGAATTAAATGTGCTAGGAAGAAAACACTAAAATCAAGAGATTTGTTTTTCCTATAATATTTCTCTCTGATAACCTACTTTTCAGGTACTTTGTATATATCACCTATAATTGACTAACGGAGTTTTAGTTTCCTTTTAGTTATTCAAAATTTCAAATAGATGCTCGATGTCCATGTGTATTTGAACCATTTCCTAATCTGAAAATTCTTTTCGTAAATTACGGTGCGTGTGGTCGAGCGGTAATTCTAATTGCAGGTATTCCCGAAAAATGGTGTTCGTGTATTGGTCACCTAAAATACGAATTTCTAAGCGCCCAAGATATGAGAGAACTAGAAAAAATTATTCAACATACTATCGATGGACCAATCAAGAATACAATGGAACTGGACCAAATTGTAAAAAGTTCGTACGCCTATAGTATAGAGAACGTGGTTGAAAGTGAACGTAGAAAAAATCCGTTTAGAGGAAACGAAATAGTAAATTATCGATTAGTCAGGTTTGTCACGGACCTATTCAGCCCCTATCAGATCATGCTATCGAAATCCAACTCCAGTGAGTCAACGAGGATCGTCCATATACGAAAAGTTTATTGAGTTGTTTCAATGCACGAAAATTTATTATATGAGACTCACAGACTATAAATGTGTTTCAATTAAATTTAGTTCATTCGTTTACTAACTGGGGGAATGTTGATAGAATGACCCTAAAACAGTCTTTAGTAAATCTAGATTAAACCAATCGTTTAATTTCAATAATCGGGCGAATTCGCAGGTCCCAACGCAAATGCTTTGTGCGAATATTGAACAATCGCTAAGAGAGCGGATAAGACAACACAAAGTCGAAACAAAATGTTATTGAAAAAATGCGAAAAATAGAACCTTTAAAAAAATCTATAATGTTATGAAAGAGCCAAAGCATTAATATTATTAGTTACTTTAAATTATCACACATTACGCCTACTGCAGGCGAACAGGAAAAATAATGTACTTTAAAATTCTAATCGACTACAAAATAATAAATACCCAGTTGAATTGTAAAAGTCATAAATTGTAACAATACATTGCGGAAATATGTGTATCAGATGTCTCGGTCAAATTTAAAATAACAATTTAAACCTTATTGCGCCGGACTATAATCGACATGGGCCCGCGGAAGCCTGTGGGAGAAATAATGATAAACGATAGTCAGGGACGCAGATAGAGCATTAGGTGGTATATTATATTTCCACGCCAGCAGAGTTACAAAGAAGTTTAATTGTCAAATACAGAATGCTATGCCCCGACCATACTATTTTCGGAGTATCTGGTGCCAGTTTAAAAATAATATTGCTTCTTGCACACGCCCAGGTAAGCAAAACGATGTCGCTTTTGAATGGAGAGAAATAAAGGTAAGTCAGTATATTAGCTATATCAAACCTAGTATGAATTCAATGAAATTCTGGTAGACAAAATCAAAATTTTGAAAATGTAATACAGAACGTAGTTTATTATAAAAATGGTTTTGTAGCTCTGAATTCACCCATTAGAGGGCGCAACACTAATTGTAAATAAAAAAACTCGATTTCTTCAAAGTCTGTGCCTATGAGATACACTTATTCCGGTAACGCGTCAAGGGGAGGGGAAAAAATAATATAAAAAATGAATAGGTATTTAGGGCTTATCAAGATTTATTGACCTTAATGTCATCCAATACAGCAAGACGAGCAATATTATTGGAGGTTTTGCCCAATTGGATAGATGGCGCTTTGCGATAATCTATGATATATTATGAATTGTTTGAAACAATCAAATGCCAATGCAGCATAAACATATAAAATAAACTCAGTCACTCTCGAGAATATATGAAATCTTAAAACACGACTTTTACTTTTCTGCCACAATTTTCAGCCTCCGTATTTCTTTCGAGTAGTTTTTTTTTAATACAACTGCCAATTTTGGTAGTTTTACTTTATTTCTTGCTTGTGTACATATTGCTTAGTAATATGTCACTACAAATTATATTACATATAAAGGATGCTCTTCAGATAACAGCCATGCAGGACTAAAAAGACCTTATTGCTATTAAAAGATATAGGGGCCGTAAATGCAGTAAAATTGATACACCTCAAGAGGCTATGATATTGTTGTTCTAGACAGCAATCTCCATACACATAACTAGTTTTTTCGCTAAAATGTATATCTCGTAGCTACAGCCTATCAAAAAGTCTCTATACACTATTCTTAATCCACGAGAGCATCCACTTATTCAAAATAAACTTGTTTTTGTTTCGTCGACTAATAACACATTTTCACAAAGCTTAATAGGATTTATAATATCCTACTTTTACTTCCTTCTGTAAAATACCTAATTGACCACGGATCCGAACCGCTTCGAATCGGATGTTTTCGGAGATTTTCTCGCACTACTTGAATTTTGACGTTTGTCAATTCTGACGGTCATGTAATTGAATGTATTGTAATGTATGCTGTAAGGGTTTTCTATGGAAAATTCTCATTTGTTTTATAAATATCGTTGACAGGTAAAAAACATCCACTTATTAAATCGCGGTCCTATTGAAATAATGTGTTGGAGACGTTTTGCAATAATTTTGTCCAATAATAAGGTATTTAAAAAAAAATGATATAAAAATATTTGTTTATAATTAATTCTCACAAAATTTGAACGATCTATATAAAAAGCATTTAGCGTAGTTTTATTCTGATTGGACGAAAAACATTATCATCAGGCTTTATTGCTTATTGTCAATGGCGAAACCTGGTCTATATTATTGATATAATACTATTCTCTTCTTCTGAGCTATTTATTAGTGTAGTTGTAGTTAGTTAGTCATGTTTATTAACCAGGCAACAATCCTGAAATAATCTTATGCTGGGCATTACAATGTGACTAGTGGACTGAGACAAAAGGGTCTGTATGTAACAAACGAGGTTTGTTAAATTTTAGCCGACCTCCATGCACTGACAAACAGTCCCGATTTATTCATTGCTCACACACAACTAATTATAGAATCCATATATAAACAAATAATGTTCGTTAATTGCAACATTTCATGTATTCGATTGTTAATGCAGCACCGAACCTTTCTAATTGGTGTAATAATAAATTCGGCCTCTATACGTACAGGTTCTGCTTCAGATTAAGTCTATTTATGATTATTCGCGTGATACCACGTGGTCAATGGCGTTTTCCCGACTTTGCCGAAAGTAAATGTTTCGCGGAGAGTGATTTGAATATGGTAAGTGCGAAGAAGAGCCGTTTCAACCTAAACTTATTTATACATTACAATATTTACACTTCCGTGACGTTTTTACTAACCTGAATAATAATTCCGCTTTAAATGTGAACTTCAGTTGAACCTACTAATATGAACCTAGTAATTTATGTTGAGTGTCCTATTAACGTCTCAGAGAAGTAATGAAAATGACTTTGCCAGGTAGGCTATGAAAAGTCTCATTTGTCCGACTTAGCTAATTCATTATTTAAGCAAGGTTGTGCTGTTGGAAGCTTTGGAAGAAGAAACGTTATACATTTTCGAGTAGGTGTTTTAAAATTAGGCGTCCATGAATATTTTTTTCATTGGTACACTAGTATATAACCATACATATTACAAAAAATTGAAATAACCACAAAAAAAAATTTAATTTGCGATCTGGGTCCTAACTGTAATTAAAACGTCGCATATTTAAATAATGGCTTTTAAACATTTGTTGTAATTTTTAAAGTTAAAATGTGTAATTACGTGCACGTGCTTGTTTAAAAGTTTTTTTAAATTAGCAGAGAGTCAATTAAAATAAACTCTATTGTGCAAAACCAATAAAGTTAACTATATACTAACTATATGACTAAATCAGAATTTCTTAAATATTATATTATCTCAATTTTTTTTTTCATCGTCAATTTAAAAACTCCTTATCATATGCAGGAGCTCTGTTTATGCGTTGCTTTACTTATTACATATTATTATATTATTATTACATTTAAGTATGATAAAAACGGTGTTCTATCGGTAAGTTAAGGTATAGCCTACCCTCTCTACGACCATTATTTTTGGGAAAAGTGTATATTAATAAATTAATCAAATTAAAAATTCGTTCATTTTCATTTTTAATTTCATTAGTTTCCGATAAAAAAATTAAAAATATTAATTGTACTTTATTTATAGCCAGGTACGCAAACATATTTCAAGGAAAGCAATATTTTCCTTGGACACGTCGTGACGAAGAAAACCAAAAGCAAATATGCAAACGTGTTCCGCAAAAACAATAAACCATAAACAATCAAATCTTTTGATCCGGTATGCATGTTAAGGATGACGCGTACATAATCGATGTAACGATTATCTAACCGACACAAAGCACGATTTATCTCTTCATGCAGAGCTTTATTTATCATGAATTTTCAAATTATACTTTTTTTAACGTTACCATGAGTTCGAAAAACTATAAAGATGAAGGTCGAAACATGTTATATTATAAAAAGAAATCAAATGTATTTGGAAATTATCAGTCAGTCATGTTGTTTATACGACCAATTGTTTTAATGTAGCCGATAATTTACAGGTAAAATAGCAATTTTTGAAGTTTTCTACTACGTTTTTAAAGGTCGATTTGGTATTACACATTAATACATTCAAATGAAATTGCAAACATTTCATTTATTCATACCTGTGGTCATATGACTTATGTCAAAATCGATTTTGAAGGTATCACCTATTTTCCCACTCTTTATTAACAAATAATTTTTTTCTTATGGAAATTTTAAAGAACTCGATTTTTGACTGCTAAATAAAAGAAGATGAAATAGCAATGTCGCCCAGAATAATTAATAAACGACCAAACAAACAAACCAAACTAACCAAAACTATTGACGTGGAAAATTTCGCGTCATAAATAAATAAAATTAAACCTCTCTTAAAAAAGATTAGCAATTGCAGTTTAACCAAACTCGATTTTTTGTTTTGCACAATTTGTTTGAACACATAATTATTTACTTATTTATTGTTATTTTGCTTAACAACAATGACCGAGTAAATTTGTTCTTCCGCTGACTAATATACCATATATTTATCTATCTTATATCTGATATTACAAATCGATTAATAAATTCCCTATCGATTTTAGCAAACGAGAATATTAACTTACTTAATTTCCCATTTTTCATGTAACGCAAAATGCATTTTATATTTTTATTATGTCATTCACTCGGCGGTTAAAATTTAGGTATTTTTAGTCGATTAAAGTAAATTTCAGCAAACTACCTTGATATTAAAAAAAAATAAACAATAGAACAACAATACAACAAACAACATAAAACCGCCTATTCAAATATGCTTAGTACTCTGTCCCTATAACCAGGAAAAGCCCATAAAAACCTTCACAGAGAGCCAACCATGAAAATCATATTCTAAATGCATCTTAATGTAGTCCTTCCATATTTAAAATTTATTAATACCAATAGCCTAAATCAATTTGAATCGCATTAAATTCTCATTGGAAAATTAATAATTAAAAAAATCAGTACAATGTCAAATTGGTTTTAGTTTTCCTTCGGCGCGTAAAAATTGCTACACACGTTGACTTGATGACGAGCGGTTTTCTGAAACACAGCGATGAGTGGTTGAGTCGCAAACTGTAAGTGTAAAGTTTAACGTATCCAATCACTGATGTTGGTGACATCCAAAAAAATTCCACCATCATATGCTGAATTTTTAATAACATGTTAGCATGTCTATAAATCTAATCTAATCAAAGATATTTCGTTAAAATGCACATACCGGACGCTAACTTTTTAATTTTAATTAATAAAGTAGAATTTGTTCAGTCTCAGATAATACACAACGATACAAAGGCAACAGTTTGCTAGTAAATAAATGAGGAATATAATTACGTTATGTGGTGAATGTGTTTTGTCATAGTGTTTAATATACTTGTGACTGAAGAAGTTTATCAACGTGTTTACTTTCACTTAGGATGCCATTGATGCAGAACCACTAGAATTACCAAACGCCAACATAAATGACAATTAATGTCAAAATAACATCAATGTTTAAAGTAGCTACCTACCGAAAACAATAACGTTTTTATTTTGTTGTCAAAAACATTTTGGGATTTTTTTGAATACATTTAACTAATAAACATTTATATATACCAGATCAACTTAAAAGAACAGTATTGTATTTAATTGTATAGGGGTTGATTAAAAACGCTAAAAAACCTGTAGCCGCTGAGATCGGTTTTACTGATTATTTCACTTCCTGATTTAATTTTTTTTTAAATTGGATAAATCTTTACTGGTTTCGATACTTTGAAGAATCAATTACAAAATGTTATTAATCAAAAATTTGTTAATTAGTAATCTTCATTATTTTTTATAATTTTGATTTACCTCATGATATTTAAAAACGTCACGTATTACTTGTATCATAAGAGTAAATGAAAAATGACAGGGTTCGTTTCTTTCTCTCTCCAGAGGGAATTATGTCAATTGGCAGTTTTTTATTATATTTTATAATAATAATAGTACAGTGTATCCCACTTAAGAACTGTATACCATTGTAAAATGTTTATTTATTGTTCGATTTTGGTTTTTTTTTTGGTGGATAGTTCTCCCAAGAATGCACTAAAACCTTGTTTTGCTTATTGCTTCAACTTAAAGTCATGGCCAACTGAGACTATTTAACAAAAGAGAAAGAAAAGAGAAGTACTATTAAGACTTTTAAAAAATATATTTTGGCAACGAATTTTTATTGAGGAGTACCCAACTATACCAATTTTTATAATGTTTCAATAGAGAGTGTTTGAAATATCATTTACGCCCCCCTTAAGGATGTACACCGTTGTAAAATCTTTAATTAAGGTATCAAAATTAATTGGCGGAGTAGCGAATATTCGACTGTCAAATTCACTGGCTAATGTATTTATTAATTTTGTTTATACTAAGATTGATTAATGCTGTTGATTTGAGATGATACTAAAAAATAAGTGTCCCTTAAAAAGTCCTTTTTATCATTATTTTTGGAATTATTAAAATTTGTAATATCTTAAAATAAGATAAAATTAATCCTGATTTACACGGTTTTCAATATTTATTTTTTTAAAACATTAAAAACTTGAGTGATTGGTCTAGTTACTTTTAGGCAGTCCTGAATACGAATCTGTTGTCATTTCAACTTGAAAAAATCTCTGAAAATACTCGATTTTCCGCTTCAAAAAACTGTGTCAATTTGCCATCACTTTAGTCGATGCTATATGAAAAACCCGTTTGATTTCTCTATAGTAAGATCTATTTAGCAGAAAAGAATTATCAAAATTGAGCCATAAACAAATATTCTACAGGAGTAATGCTTAAGCGAACTTCTTGGAAAATAATATAGTTATATTTTATGTAGTCCTAAATAAGAGTTCGTTGACAGTTTCTTCCTAAAGAAAAGAAAGAAAGAAAAGATTTTACAACGATGTACAGCCTTAAGTTGGACGTAAACGATATTTCAAATACCCTGTATTGAAACAGTATAGAAATTCGTATAGTTGGGTTCTAAGTACTCCTGAATAAGAATTCGTTGCCATTTTTTAAAATTTTTAATAATACCTCTCGCTTTCCTCTCTTTTGTTAAGTAATCCTAGTTGACTATGACTTGCAGCAATAAGCGAAACAAGAATTTAGTGCTTCAAAGAAACTTCTACAGGCTACTGTAACACTTTTTATAAAACTTCTGGCAGCTAGCTAGTTCGAGTCGACAAAAACCGACACAGGAAGAATCCAGAAGTTTTATAAAAAGTAAGGTATTAGTGCATTGTTCAGAAATCTATCCAACAAAAAAAATCATCAAAATCGATCCATAAACAAAGATTTCACAATATCTAATAGTGGGACACACTGTATATGGACCTTATTTGTAACAAAAATAAATAAATATAAATAAAAAAAATTAAATAATAAAAATAATATAATTATATAATATAATAAAAATAAAAAATAAAAATAAATTCAAAATTACTATTTCCAGTGCTATCGAGCTGCTTCAGGCTACTTTTTATTTCTAAAACTGCCCGAAAATCGGAAAATTCGGGAAACGAGTTCCCGATATCCCCGTGCCAGTCGCCGATATCTACGCGCAGGCTTCCTTTATTGATGTTCGTCTGTTTCATCCCCGCAGCGCGAGTTTTCCTGCACACGTAGCATATCCCCGTGTTGTAGTTGTAGAGTGCCAAATGAGAAAAATGGTCGCGAGAACCTTGAACTTAACGAGGAGACTAACACTTGCGCTTAATGATAATAGAAGGCAGCATGGAAGTATTTTCTATGATTAAATAAAAGACCGCATAAAACTGGGTGTTAGTCTTTAACACGTCCTCAACTATTTGACGTACAATAATGGTAAGCCCAATTTTCAATTCGACGTCTGTTTGTGTTTTAACCATTTGCGCAATTAAAAACCACGATTCGAAGTGAAACCGTTAAAAGAAAATTTCATGAACATACATTGATAAATCTAGACGAACAATACACAGATTGTTGGCGCAACGTATTTATTAAATATAAAGTATAAATTTTATAACACATTTGATAAAGACGCGGTGTTGTAGAAACAACTGCCATGTCATAATATATAATTTCGTGAACATCTGAACTTTTAGTTCTTATTTATTTTACTAAATAAATTTCAGTTTTCACTGATCTAAAACGTGAGTATTTGTTTTGTTAAATTGCAATTCCAATAAAAAATCTGACTAAGGGAATATAAAGAAAACAATGCGTCTTAGATTTTTATGACACTTTTAATCTCAAACAAAACCCAAAAATAGAAAAGATGCTGAACACAAGCGACATCTCTCGGCAATTGGACTTATGATCGCTATAAACAACATTAATGTAAAAACTAAGTGATTTCTCGAGTAGACTGGTTCCTTGTCTACGTAACTTTTTGGTAACCAAGTAATTTGAAATGGTGTTCTAATTATGGTTGCGTTAGAAATTTGATAATTATATGGAAACACTCTTAATTATACCGCTATCGCGTAAATAAGTCGGTTTGCCATCAGTGGCGGTTCCTCCATAAGTGCACATGTGCACGTGCACCCCCAAATTTAATGCCCGCTCGGAAAAAAAATTATTTATGTAATTATATCCTACAATTCGCTTAATCCTATTTATAAAAAAAACGATTCATCAAAATTCATAAAATTGAAATTAATACATAAAAAACTAGGAATTTCTTATCGGCCGTCACCGCGACCGCCGCGCCGGTATAAATCATTGTATAAACAAAACTCCAAACCCCCTTTGCCAGCAGCCGATTCCGCCGATCGTAAAATGCTTCGTTCACTGCTCATGGAACTAATAGATCTGATTGGTCAATCATCCGCCGCCCGCACTCTTTGTTTCCCGCGGCGGTCTACCGATCTAAGCTGGCCCGTGTGCACACGTAATGAGTGCACTTGTAGTTCGCGTTTGCAAATATAATAGCCGATGACGCGTGCGTGTTGAAAATTAGTATTCGAAAAATAGTTTTAAAACTCTGTTAAAATGACGGACAATTATAACGTGCAATATTTAAAGACAATTAAATTTTCTTCTCTTCCATTGGAAGAAAAAATTAAAATTAAAAGTGTTGGACGTCCCAAACCGAATGTGTTAATTATTAATACAACTAAATGCAAAAATCGAGAATATAAACGTACTTTTAAAATAGAAATGTATGAAAAAACTGACTGGTTGTGCGGGTGTGATGTGAGTAATAGTCTCTACTGTTTTCCATGCTTATTATTTTCAAGCGATCAGGCATCAGATCCATCAGAATGGACAAAATCCGGAGTAAAAGATTTAGTTCATTTATCCGAAAAAATTAAAAAACATCAGAATTCTAAATCACACTTATCTGCCAAATTAGGATTTAATTTATTGGGAAAACAAGATATTAGACAGCAATTAAATAGTGTCTATCGTTTAGGCATAGAAAAACATAATGTCCAAGTAAAAAATAATAGATATGTTTTATCAAAAATTATAAACTGTGTAAAATTTTGTGGTGCGTTTGAACTTGCCCTCCGCGGACATCGCGAAAAAGAAGATTCTGTAAACCCTGGTATATTTAGGGGACTCATTAATTTTTCTGCTGAACTGGATATAGCACTGAGGGATCATTTGCAGCAAGCCACCATATTTAAAGGAACATCAAGACATTCAGAACGATTTATTGGAATGTATGCTCTCTGTTTGTCAGGCACATATCAAAAAAGAAATTGCGGCATCAAAATTTGTATCTATTATGAGTGACGAAACCAGTGATATTTCAAATATTTTTCAAATGGTTATAGTTTTCCGTTATACATTACCGAATGGCAGCCCCGTTGAGAGATTTTGGACATTTGTAAAATCAAATGAACATGATGCTGTTGCCTTAGCTGGCTGCATAGAAGAAGCGTTAAATTATGTTTTAAAAAATCCGGATCAATTAATTTCCCAAAGTTATGATGGAGCAAGCGTCATGAGTGGCGCTCAAGGTGGTGTTCAAAAACTTATTAAAAATAAATTTAAATACGCTCATTACATCCACTGCTATGCACACCAGTTAAATTTAATAATGTCTCAGGCAACAAGCATAAATACAAATGCACGCATTTTTTTTGCCGAACTTAGTGACATTACTAATTTTTTTTCAAATTCACCACAAAGAGTTGCGATACTGGATGAAGTGGTTGGAAATAGAGTTCCAAGTGCATCTGCTACCAGGTGGAACTTCAAAATTAGAACTGTGAATACCGTATATGAAAACCGGAAGGCACTTATAGAGTGTATGGAAAAAATACAATCCACATCCAGACAATCCGATACAATCACGAAGGCAGGCGCACTTTTAAGATTATTGTATGATCCTAAGTTTATTTTTTGGTTATCCGTTTTTCATCGAATAATGCCTCACGTCAATATTTTATATTCACAACTGCAAAAAAGATCAACTGATTCGGTAACCGTAAAAAGATGTATTAATGAATTTGAAAAAAATATACAGAAAGAACGGGAGACAATTCACACCATAAAGGAAATTGAATTAGCAAACATGGATGAAAGTCAAACTAGAAAAAGAAGAAAGACAGAAGAGAGGCATTCTTATGTTTCTACGATTGTGCAAGCCAAGGAAGTATGTGATACTATACTTGCAGAAATCAAAAGAAGATATTCATTCACTGGCCATTTGGAAGTAGCGCACTTATTTTCAGTTGAAAATTTCGAGATATTTTCAACTAATTTTCCCACCAAACACTTAAATTCAGCAATTATGAATTTTTCTTTTCTGAACAAAGATAAATTGAAGACGGAACTGGAAATAATCTACAAAAGATCAGATTTTAGAGAAGTTTCAGGAGCAGTCCACCTACTTAAATTTTTAGTTGAAAATAATTTGCAAACAGATTTCTCAGAGACTTTTTCAGTACTACAAGCAATTGTTACGATGCCAATGACAACTGCAGAAGCGGAACGTTGTTTCTCCACATTAAAAAGAATTAAAACTTTTCTTAGAAGTACAATGGGTGAAAATAGGTTGACTGCCCTCGCAATGTTATCCATTGAGAAACAAATGATTCAAGAAATTCCAAATTTTAATGAATTAGTGATTGAAGAATTTATCTCGAAGAAGGACAGACGTATTGATTTTCAATTTAAAACGTGTTTGTGAAATACAAAATCTTTGATAAAAACTATTACTTATGTACATAAAAACATTTTTTTTTTGCGAGGCCAAAGTTAGTACTCATCGGTGACAGCAGGGTAAGTTATTTATTATTATTTTTTTAATTGAGATATAGTTTTCTATTATTGATTGGCCTTTGAATAACGCAAAAAAATTTTTCGGCGTCGTCGCGTGGCCGCCAATTTTTTGATTTTACGTTGTGCACCCCCTAAATATGGAACCACGCGCCGCCGCTGTTTGCCATTAAGTTACTGCCGTTAATGCTAGTTGTTATCGGTTACACTTTATTTATCCGGTTGCATTTTCTTTTTGGTTTTCGCTTTCACTGACATTTTTTTGCCGTGCTTGACCCGAAAATAACAAAACTAATTATTTCTCAAGCATAATAAGATTAAAATTTCGCAACATTTTTTTCTAGAAAGCAACAAGGGGGTAAGTTGCATCGATCAAAATTGAAATTACAGAAAAAAATCACACTTTTGTTTAATTAGTATGACAAATTAACTACATTTAAACAAAAATTTCTTTGCGAAAACTTTTGCTAATATTTTATGAATTAGTAAATAATATTCGCAAGATAATGCGATAATTTATTTCTGTTTTATTCAAATATTTTTTTGGAATTTGATATTAGGAGAACATTTTGTGTTTATTATTGATTGACAAACGAGTTTTTTGATTTGAGTAAGTAGTAACTTGCCTAATGTAATAAGGGCGAGAGTGTAAATTAATATGGTTTTCAAACAGAAATAACTGATAAAAATCAATCGCAATTAATGTAATAAATTAAATTAAAAAACGAGCAGCTGTATTTCAAAAACTATAGCGTTAATGACTTTTTGCTTATCTATAACATCAAAACTGCTAATCTGTGCTGGTTGTAAGGCATTGGATAGCATAATCTTTATTGTAGGAGTGATAAAATGCAAGAATTCGGCTGCACAGCAAACCTGCACAGGAAAATATTTTTTGTTGTTTTTGTTACGAGTGTTTCGATACTGATGATTTCGTATTATGATTCGACGAAGTTAATTAATACCCAGATGTTTTTCACTACACCCGAGAACGAATCAACAAACAATGGTAAGTAAGCGAGGACCAAATTTGGCATTAATTTACAAATTGCTTCTGGGGTAAAAACATTGTTTATAACTATTTTAGGCACTAAGTATCTCGTATCGACGTCGAAGTGCAAAATTGTGGATCTAGACCCCTTCTCCAAAGATGCCAAACGATATTTCAAACCTTTGAAATATAAGTCTTGTTCGCAACACAGGCTATTAACTTATGTGACAAAAGAAGACAATATATCTACGCTAAATGTTGATAAGGACCTAATTCCAGTATATACTAGCAAGGATGTCAAGTGTTGCTATTCCAACGTCACCAGATTTGTGCCGACAAATAATCCTGATAGTTCCATCAAGTAGGTCACTACAAAAATTGTTGAAACTATGTTTTTCTTTATTCCTTATACACAATGTTTCTTCCTTTGTTTTGAAACTGTTGTTTTTAAACTCCTATCGCTTAAAGAATATTATGATTCTCATAAGAAGAGGTATTTCTATTCCTTTTTGTGACAATTAAGCACGAATTTAATCATTTGATCAAAGGATTTTAGTTAACTGCAAGGAAGTTAATTCAAAATTTCATCGAAAAGACTAAAATTAAATATATTTAAAGAGCTTATATTGATATTTTTCTTAGAAAGCCTTGTAAGTACTGCCAGCAACAAATAGGATTAAAATTTTTCTCGAAGTGGACAAGTGAAATTTCGACCCCTTTAGAGAAATAATGTATTGCGAATATTGCTGATAAAAACAATTTGCACATTTTTATTATATAAGTCCACCAATTAATAATACATTAACTACAATTGTAACACATATCCGTTAACAATCACAAGTAACATCATAGGTGAAAATGTTATTATAATGCAATATTTCGTTTGTTTAAGAATATCAGACTGTAAAACATTCTCGAGTAAGGTTCAAATTTTGACAGACGCGGTGTTAGTGAAATGTACAGAGAGTCGAGCAGACAAAAAAATCTACGAAAATGTCCACACGTCAGTCAGAATAACGGACGAGGTTCAGAAAAAAATAAACAATACCGACAATGGTGCGAAGCTTCCGAGCGTACTTTTCATCGGTATTGACAGCATTTCGCGCCTAAACTTCTTAAGGACTATGCCCGACACCTACAAATACGTAAACGACCACGGATGGTTAACCCTGGATGGATACAACAAAATGGACGACAATACATTTCCAAACCTAATGGCGATATTTACGGGTAAGTAAATTGCGCAAATAATCTCTTACCCGATAAAATGTCATTAACAATACAAAATTTAAAAAAAAAGCTGAAAGCGGATCAAATTCTTGTTAATTCCACAATATGCTATTCAAAATTGAGAAATACAAAATAAGAACGAAAAAATATATTAAAGTTAGTTGATTACTATAAACTATACTATAAAAAACTAAAATATAAAAAACTAAACTAGCTATAGAAAAAAACATTTATAGTCATAATAAGCAACAACAAAAATACAAAACAATTATAATTTCAGCAGTATAAATGTAACAAAAAATATTCTGAATGTGATTGTGAAGTATTGCACCTTTTTGTTTAAGTATTTAACTTCGTCGGTCTGTTATGGGAAAATAAGTATCAAAAGTTGTCAACTTCGTGAGTTTAAATAGAACACCTCTATATTATTGCTCTTTTGGATTACCCGAAAATTTTTAGACATGTTTCCTCTATAATATTTTCTTTTTCTGAGATATTTAAAATGCAGTGTGCGGTCAGAATAAAATCCGTAAATTTTTTCTTCAAAGTTTTACTCTATTAACTAACTCTGTGGAAAATGGTCCGTTCAAAAAATTTTGCTAATAATTTCGACTATTACAGTTGAAAAAAATTAAAATCAAAATGAAAACACTGGCGAAAATCATTTTTTCAAATGGAACATTAATTGCGACACTGTCTGGATATACACTTAACAAATATTTATTTTGTAGGATACAATCAGAGTCGCGCTTACGAAGTGTGCAACCCAAAAGTTGCTGGAATGCTGGATGAATGCCCATTGTTATGGTTCACGTACGGCAAGCTCGGATACATCACGGCATACGGAGAAGACGAGGGAGCCATTTCCACGTTTAATTACAACAAAAAAGGATTTATAAAGCCGCCGGCAGATTATTACTATCGTCCGTATATTCTGGCGACCGAGAAATTGCCAAAGACAGGCCTGAACGGCATGAATTACTGTACGGGTCCGGAAACCGCAGGCGAACGAATACTGAACCTAATCAAAGATTTCACCATAACCTTAAAGGATTATCCCACTTTCGGTATATTCTGGATGAACTCGTTCAGCCACAACGAAATCAATTCGCCCATGATGTTGGACAATAAAGTTAAGTTGACGTTGGAAGAGTTGGGCAACAACGGAATATACAACAACTCGTTGGTGATATTTCTGAGCGACCACGGTATGCGCTTCGGCGACATCCGACTCACCGAGACCGGCTGGTTAGAGGAAAGACTGCCGTTTATCTATTTCTCATTTCCCGCCGACTTTAAAGAGAAATTTCCAACGGAATACAACAATTTTTTAAACAACAGGAACAAACTGACCACACCTTACGATTTGTACATGACCCTACAGAATATTCTGGTGCTGTATAAAATGAACTATACCGTCAGCGGTAGCGACGCTTGTCCGAATTGTACGTCGCTGTTTGCCGAAATCGAAACGGAAAGGTCTTGCGAGGATGCCGCAATCGAACAGCACTGGTGCACCTGCGCGGGCTATACCGAAACGATTTTGGACCCGACCGTGCACAAGTCATTATCAACGTTCGTCGAGGAAAAACTTCATCAGATTACATCCAACACATCGCGCGGAGGAGGAGACGGCAAGTGTGCCAAATATATCGTAGTCGAGTTCATAAGTACGAGACTGTCCCATAAACTAACCTACAAAAGCAGTACGTATATATTAGTTAGTTTTAAGACGGAACCAAAAGCAGTATTCGAGATGACTATAAAATACGACGGTGATATTAGGCTCGGTAATTTTACATCTAGTGATATTAGTAGATTGGATTCGTATAACGGTCACAGCAAGTGCGTAGACGACGCGTTCCTTAAGAAATACTGCTACTGTATTAAGTAAGTGTCGAGTGCCTTATTTTCCAAACTAGTATGATAAAATCGTAAAATTTTTATTTTTTATTTGAGTATAGATCTCGCGAGCGAATATTTTTGTATGGAATGTTAATCGTCTTTCTTTGAAGTACCCGAAACCTTGTCAGCTGCATCAACCTGTAAGTATCGATTCGCCACGGGAGAAGTCTTGCCGCCGGGAAATTTCCGAGGCTACGGGGCTTATTGTATTAAATATGTATTACTTGAAATGCGCAGGTACGATCCAAGGAAACCACCAGCCGGTGGCGATTAGAAAAAACATCCAGTGTGACCACCCCTGGAAACTAAAGTTTTAAAATATCAAAATGGAAAACAAATTATTAGTTTTTGTTTTTGTAAATCGCGGGACTGGATTTACGTTATAAACACTCATTTGTAAGACGCCAGCAGACGAATTGTTGACGTCTCCTTGATTGCGGTAGGGAATGGATATTATTGGGCCCATATGGCTTCACGTCTAACAAAAGGTTAGAACATTCCCATGTAATGTATTCTATCGTCTTCCTGTTCGTACAGCCTACATATAGAGGTGCTACTTTCGTTCCGAAAGTTTAGAACCTTCCTTCCTTCCTTGGTAGTATACTAGAATCAATTCTGATGTGAAACGTGACTTATACAATTATAGAATTTGTGGTTTTTCCAGTGACAATATAATTTAAAGAATGGTATAATGCTTTGAACTTTTTCTGAAAATTTTTATTTATTTTTTATTAAAATTTGAATGCTCATGTTCATAGCGGTTATGAATCCAGTGGTGCTTGCCTTGTATTAAACACTATTTATGCTATATCAAGCAAAAACTGTTTCGAACTCGTTTGAAAAATATTATTTTAAAAGAACGCTTCCAATTTAAACAGTGCACGTTGTATATGTGCGACATATGCAATTTAACTCGTTTGCTCCATACTTAGGTATAATTACGATTGGAGGATAGTTTCTTTTCTTTTATTCAGGGTGACGTTATTTACTGAACATGTACAAGATTAACTAGAACTCATCTGTGGGACTTTTATGTAAAAAACAAAAACAAAAAATAATTATCCAAAAATGTCTGTCTACTGTACCGTATACGGGATTTTTGAGATCTAGATAGAAATAGTATTTTAGTTAGTCCAAAAGTTTAATTATAATAAATAATGAGAAACAGCTGACCATTTTCTTAGAACGTGCATTGCTGTGCATTTCAAAGAAGTACTGCCTCTGCCTATACTGATTTGCAAAATCAAAATTGATGGAAAAATTGAAGCTTAATGAAGAAAGGTATTTTAAATTATTAGATAGTTATAGTTTTTAATTAATGAATGTGAGAACTGATACAACGATTTTGTATAATTCTTCCCTGATATATGCTTATCATTATTTCACTAGATATAGTTTTCCATATTGACACATTCCTCTTTTAATTTGTTTCTAATGAAGCTCTGAAAAAATTAATACAGAATTCAATTGAAAATGTTTAATTTTGTTAGAGCTATAAAGCTATCATTGTAGTCATATAGTTGTTAGATAACATAGGGCCGTAAATACCCTAAAATTGGGTATGGGGCGGCTAAGACATTTTCGTAGAGATCTTCAACGCATGCTCCTAAGTTTTACTTTGAGCTATTTTCGTTCTAAACAACCACCTATACACAGTTAACTCGTTTTTTCAATAAAATTTTAATATTATCTGTGTATATTCGTCCATGTTGTGTGGACATGCGCACCATATTGAATGTTCCTTCCCAACGTTTTTGGTTAGAAAAATGCGTATGTTATCCGCATAGCCTATGCGTTATATTAGTGATGATGTAATACCGGCCATTTTGATTAGCAAGAAATCAATTTGCCGTAAACTTCTTGAGAGTGTTTCATGTTTTTTGTGTCTTAATTATTACAGACATTCTTTTTAATTATTTTTCAATAGTATAAAATAATAGGTGTAACCTACAATCACAATTACCCTCATATAGTTAGCTTAAATATGCTGAAAACTTATTGGGACTACTAATATTTCTCGTTGTTTGTCGTTTTCGTCGTTTTCATTAAAATACTTTAACTGGTTCTTTCATTTGCAATTTCAATATATTGATAATGTTATTGCTAATGATCACGAATTCTGTTTGTTTGGATTCTAAACGTCGACAGCTCTCAAGGAAAAAGGCCGTCCTACGTCACACTATGTTATCTAATAGGTGCTTTTAAAAGTCCAACATATCATTTTTGTTTGTTATTCTATTGGCCCAATTTATGTACAGTATATCCTAGATACGTATATTTATAGAATATAACAAAATAAGTCTGAAAAATACTCTAATAGGAAATTAGATATATAAACATATTTATCGTTAAAAATTAAGATGCAGTTTATTATATATTTTACCCAATACGTTTTTGTGATACAATGAAATTGTTATTTTTATCTTTTCCATGGTAGAAGTATGGCGATTTTTATATCACCGATTTCTTATGCAAACTGTTTAAAACTTAGGCTCAGATTATGCTCTTCTACAGCTTACGTCACAAAATTAAATCAGTGTTATAGATGTGTGTGACTTCTAATTTATCAAAAGATCCATCGATGCGAATCTTCTTCATCTTATATCGGCGTAAGAAATCTGTGCTTCCAACCAAAGTTGATAGTGGCGTTCAAGTTTCGTCATTTGCTAAAAAGTGGCCCCGAATACTTATTTTATTGTAAATGTCTAGTCAATCTTTTGCAAATACACGTGAATAAAATATGTTTTTATTTCATGTTCTGCGTTTCATTATAGTATAGAAACATATATGATGATAATATCCACCACAAACCAACAGGTAGACTGAAAAAGAATATTGTGGTAGGAAACGTTACTTGTTGAGAACTACCAGGTGTTCAAAATAAAACTTAACTTTCCAATACAAGAATTTTAAATTTTGACATGGTTTTGATAAGATGTGCAAAGGAATATAAGTACCTTTTATTACCCTTTTCTACTATTAAGTCTAAATAGGGTCGGCTTTAATAGGGCACAACTTTGTAAAAAAAATAAATTATCATTAAGTATATGAAGCTTCGTTAGGGGAATTAAAGTTTCTCCCCTTCAAAAACGCTAGTGTTTAGATTAATTAGTTTAATGAAATTTCACTTTTACGTTTTCAATACCGAGTACACTTCTTCTCCTTGGCGTTTCCGAGGCAAATCGTTTTTAAAAAGCGCGTTAAACAACGCGTCAGTGATTAAGCCAGGATAAAACTAAGGCCATCAAATCGGTAGGTGTCAAGGTCGTGGGAAAGTCGTTTCACAGCGAAATGATAGCACGTAAAAAACACCGAACTAATCCACAAAATCTCGTGATTGCACCTTTATCACGGCGATAATATTTCGAAACATATGCCCAGAACTGATGCACATTTTTGGATTCTATCTTGGTAAATTATTAACCCTGGGATATTATCGTGAATAAAGTAGTCGTACATATTCCTACCGTTTTAAAATTTGGGTTTTTTATGTTACCTTGATGTCAAAAATCCTTTTCGCTTTTTTAGTGATATATGTAGCCCTAAAAGAACATATAGTTGTGATTATGAAGAATGACGGACAATTACATCATTCGAAATAAACATGACTAATTTTATCTTTTTCAAACTTTCTCAAACCAAAGTCAGTCAATAAGCCAAAAAGAGTTAACTTTTGAATTAACGGAACTAAAAAGCTTACTTATATTACAATAAATTTAAAAAAAGGACTGATGAAAAATTTTCTTCCTGAATTTTAGGACGTACTTCAAATTATCTAGAGAGTCCCGTTTCCGAAATCCTACGGACTATTGTCGTGGCGTCACTAAGCACACATTTCAAAACAAGATTTAATAGATATTTACATTGCATATCATGCTAATTACGAAGATTAAACAGCGTTTGTTCGTTAGATCTAATAATCCTAAATTAAACATGTGTTTCAGAGTAGACTAAATTGTTTCTCACGCTCACCGGTTTCACTCTGCAGCAGCACTTGTAATTTTCTAAATAAATAACAATAAAATGTTGGGCTACAAAAAAATGTTTATTAAAAAACTCCTGTCCATTGCAGACTACTTAGTATCTAAGTATCTTGATATTAATTCTTTTGCCAAGTGCATAACAAATATGATCCCTTAGTTAAGGTAAACAAAAGTGATTTTTGATAGCATTATATAGCATATCGCCCTCAAATTTTATATGATAATAATAATAATAAGAATAATAATAATAACATTTATTTTCCCGAAGACAACTACAAAATTGTATAGGTATAGTCAAAATATATAACATTTAACATATAAATATATTACTGAAAAAAATTTGATAAAAAAAATATTTATAATCGACAAGGTTAACTTGAAAATACGGGCAATACCCCTTAATATACGTTTTGAGGCAAAAATACTTTATCGGTATTCACAGATGCTCCCCACAAGTTGATCCCTTAGCGTAATCGGGACTCCACTTTCGCATAGTATAAATTAAGCAACTGTTGCCTAGTTAAAATCTTACGAAGATTTATAAAAAGATAATTTACACTATTTGGAGTTGAAATAAGAGTATCACAATGAGGCTATATTTAGACCCGAAACGTGCAGAGTTTCCCCAAGTTCTTTAAAATCAACACAGTCAAACGCCCGACTTAAGTCGCAAAAAATTCCAACCAGACACTCACCGTCCTCGATAAACGAAATTATCCAACGGAAATATAAACCAGCAGCAACAGAAATGGTTCTATCTTTTCTGAAGCCATGATGGTTATTTATTTACAAAATACATTAATCTTTCTAAGAAAGCATACACAAACTTTTTAGAAAAACTATTTGAAATTGTTACCGGAGGATAGTTCTCCGGTAACTGGCAACTGCCATTCTTAAAAAATGGCACAATTCTATTTCTTTTTAGACACGATGGGAACGTGAAAAGATAGATGCACCAGGAATGTTAGCGGACCTATTATCAAACGCAATACTGTTTTTTAATAAAAAAAAGTTGGTATGCCATCGGATCCAAAAGACTTTTTGTTTTTTAATTTATTTTTTAAAATATGCAAGAACTCATCCTCCACAAAAGGTAATATATAAAAATCCCTAATAACTAACTAACTAATATTTTTGTTATCCAACTGAATGAAACTAACAATATTCTTAAAATTAAAATTCTCAACACTGGACCGACAACCATTCGACAACTCCGAAATCACCCTTCAAGCAGCACTACAATCAGGATCAACAGAATCAGACAGAAAGCTGATAGAAAGCTTCTTTAATTTCAGAAACTATTTTTTTTTGTTTCTTCTCGGCCTCTGTACGTACCCCGTTCAATAGTGGATTGCACTACCTAAGAACAAACAGATCTTTTAAATTAGCACTAGACGCCTTAATTTCAAAATAATACAAAGAAACATAGCAAAAATTATTGAAAGCCCTGCCCCGGAGTAAACATGAAACCAATGCTCCAAAAGAAGAGATTGCTCAAAATTCTGAATTTTGGAGTCACCGAAGTTTCTACCAATTCGAAATGTTGAAGAAACATTCGACTTGGTGATGTCATTTCGAAATCCTCCAAGTTCTATGAAAACTGATCTGTGATTAAACACATAATTGTCAAAAACACTACATAAAGAATCCTTACTAAAATTTAATGTGCTTGTAAAAGTAGTCACTCTAGTAGACGATTTTACCAGAGAAACAAACACAATTTTTTAAAATAAGGTTTTTGAATAAAATGAAATTAAAATCAACACATATTAAAATATTATTTTCAGGCTCGTACAAACAATTAATAAGTTTTTCGATGAATTCACCGGTGAACGATAACATACTATTGTCAAAAATATTTTCCTATCTGTTACACAGGAATCTATACTATATTCAAAATCCTTGTACACGCATGGGACATCTGAAAAGATTGGTCGAGCCCTAATCCCTTTTTTTATCCATAAAGCAACACCACCGTCGTCATTATTCGAGACTATACAATACTATTTCATTAAGTCCTATCCGTCAATATGCAGTAATTTCAAATAATCCTCAGGCACTCCGGACACTGACTAAAGCACATAAGTATGTAGAGAGCAATGGATGATTCCCTCTTTACGTATACAATAAGATCGATTGGGACACAGACAACAGAACAAAAAACAGAACTCGGTATCGCCGTTTATAATCGAGCTATATTATCAAGTTTGAATTTAAATTAACCCTATTATATATTTTTTGTTTTTGAATTTATAAAAGCATATTTACGCCTTCTTTAGGTACATATTTGAGTAGAATGGACTGGGCTGAAGAAATTTTGAACATTTGTTGCTCTTGATTATGATGTAAATTTGGAAAAAAATATTCACATGTTAATTATTCAGGAACCTTTCCAATATCTTCTTTCGTCAAGTGAGAGCGTAAACGTACCTTCTGTAACTAACATTCTTAGTCTACCAGAAGTAAGACTTTTAAGACAAGCGTTAGATAATATGACATAGCTATTAGATAATATCATGTAGCTATTATATAATATCATATAGTTATTAGATAATGTAGTCGCTATACTACGGCAAAAAAAAAATTGGTGCGCGGCAGGCAGCACTGATACTCTCATAGGCAAGGTAATGATTTTCGAGATCTAGACATATTTTAAGAAAATGCTGCCTTATAAATGCATCTTGTCGACTATCTTCAGCGGCCATGTTGGTTGTGAAATGCTTCAAGATCATTGGTTACAAACGAGATATTAAATCTCGCACATGGGCATGTTGAATGGACCTTTTCAACATTTTTTTCATACGTGTTTCAAAAAGTTCCTATATTATCGGCGCAAGCCTCTAAATTATTAGTGACTATATCGATAAAATAGTGGCAATACTACGGTAAATATTGAGCCGCTTAAGGTTGCTATGATGTTTTCGTAGAGATGGGAATGATCTTTTGCGTATGTCTGTACAGCCACTAACCTGACTTATTGACGACGTGTCAGCGGCCATATATGGGTTGCAATTTGCAATGACAAATGTGACTAGTTAAAAACGAGATATCAAATCTGGAGCAGGCGCAGGTTGAATGGCCCTTCTCAACCTTTATTTTTCATAGTTACATTTAAATTTCAATTTACTTAACTGTATAAACACTAAGCCCATGTTACCGTTTGGAGTGGATTTTGGGCCGAATGCATCAGTTGTCCTTGATTTTTCAAAAATGATGTTGGTGAGGTGATGTTGGAGATGTCATGTACTTTAACGGTAGACGATTTAACGGTAAGAACCTCTGGCAATGGTGATACGAATTGGTCACAAAGATTATGCGCTTGGACCTCGCTCGACTATTTTTTTGGTATTTCATGAAACTGAATACGGACGGTAAGACGGGTATTTGAACGACATCATATTTCACACTTAATGACACATATGGGCCATTCCAATAAAAAAACTATTTTGATAATATCTTGTTTTATTTCATTTCAACACCTACTTGCCCTTATTGGAAACCCCTTTAACGTAAACTAAAATTTACGGACCCACAATTGAGCTCTACGGCCCCATAGCACTTACAGTTATCGAGATCGATTGAAATATCTGAATTTTGCCACCTCCATGTCTCCTCGATATCTATGTAAATGTAATTGTGTGTCTATTTACTTATCAAATTTAGGACCTCTCAGGTTTAACTTAATTGTGGTAGTTTGCACATTGTTAATATTATATTATATTATAGTGTGATACAGTTCTTGTAGTTTCACTTCTCTTTTCTCTATATCCTTCCGAACTTATTCTAATGCATTCCTTTGTACGTCTTTTATATGACAGCCAACGATTACATCTTTGTATATGTCCGTAACACATAAGTGTGCGTTTCTCTGGAGTGGCAATATGTCTTTTACAAAGGACTTTTAAATTAGTTAGGAAACATGGTCATCAAATCGTTGCTATCTAGAAATAAACAAAGGTCTTTGGAGTATTCTGTAGACTTCAGAACACCGTTGCCTCAAATTACATTGCGTAGGGGGTCATTAGCTAGTCTGTTAGTCTTAGTTAGTTAGTTATTAGACTATTTTTCCGAAAAAACTAAGTTGAGTTTTCTTTTCATTAATTATGAGCCCCTGACTCAACTCAGAGCTTCTAAATCTCGATTCATTTTATTAAGAGCCGCTGTAACTTCCAAGTTCACTGAAGTTTGAGGTATAGATAGGGATAATCAGAGAAGCAATAATACTATCTTGAGCGACACCTTTGTTGACATTTATATAGGATAAGTTTTTTTTCAAGTAGTTTTGAAAAAATGTATGGCGTTATCACTCAAGTGAACGAAATACTTGAGTTTAACGAGCAACAATTTCGTTCTCCAAAGTTCCCAATTATACACCGATCTATCATGCCGAAAGTGTCAGTTTACCACGTTAGTTTCGTTTCCTACGACTGCGAGTCACTTGGGATATATCCGGGATATTACCACACGGGTTTGGGTGCAATTGGATGTCTATTAAGCACTCGTGCGGCTCGTGCCAAATAAACTCGTGACTCATAGGCCGTTTACCACACTTGTTGCATAATTTATTATTAATCTTCTTTCAAAATTAATACTTAATGAAATTCGTTTTCAAAGCAAGCACAATTTTGTTGTCAAAAGTTACTGTAACAACTACTGCACTCATTTTTTAAATAAATATACAAATCTTACGTCAACAATTTGAGCATTGCCAATCCTAAACTATCTCGGATTTTCTGCACGCAGCACAAACATTATTGAATGAATCAAAACCAAAAAAAATTGTCGGTTTCGGAAAAATCTAATGGATTATTTGGAAAACATAGTCGACACTTTCGGTAGCATTGGGACTAAATAAAACTTCAAGACAGTAAAAGAGATGGAAACGACCATTCTGTTTACACATATTTATTTATTTGCTATCTAAGTTGTTTAAGCTACAAATCCGCCCTGTCAAAATTGCATCATCCTATATAGACAGTAGGCTTAGTTGGATGTTTTTTACACTAAATAGTAAAACAAGAAGTCGATACTCGTATCTGACTCGTATAGCCGATAAATGTTTACCCAAATATTGAACCAATCTTTGATGTAAACTCAAGTGCATTGTTTTTTATCAGTTTAAGATAAACGTCACACTGACACCAAATATTAACTTGGGCGTTTGAATCAGAAAAAAAGAAACATTGTTATCTTGCAGATTAGTTTTTTGAATGAGCAATATTTGTTTTATAGGGTGTCAACTCGTCATCATTGTAGTCGTCTGCTTTTGATAAAGCAACAAAGAAATAAAACAATAAATTATTTGTTTATCAAAAGTAGAGTTTTGTTCGCCGAAATACCAATCAGATAACAAAAACTTCTACTGCTACAAATAACGCATATAACACGCCAAATGGCTGAAACCTTGACATGAGTAATTTTATCGTAAATTGGACGATAGATACGAGCCACACGAATTCAGATCAATGACGGACCAAGGACGACGCGATAAAATATAGAGAAAAATGTCACAAACCCTAAAATAATCCAAATCAAACAAACCTAATCTTGCTGCAGTACGAGCTAAGCCCCCCAGCGTATATATTGGACCTTCTCGGTTGCAAAACTCTCTAATGTAACGTGACCCCGTGGCGGACCTGTTAGGTGGTGTTTTACTTTTCAAAGAATGAAGAAACCTTCACACTCATTTAGCCTTCTCAGGTACTATTCTATATTTGTGCAGTTACCACTGAACACGATGCAAATGAATGCATACATATTAAAAATTGAGTGGGTTGGACCAGTGGAAATATCGTGAAGCTAAATAATACCAACATTGGACACAGATGCCAAAACTAAAAGGAAACAACTTATTTTTAAAGACGTCAAATTTTTTTTTGATTTTACTTCACTTCAATAATCTCTATCCGATACGCCCATTGCTTTAACGGCGAAGATGACTCTTGATTAATACCAGCTTGAATGAATTCTGTTGTAATTTAATTAACTGATGGAGGTTTTGGTAAGCACTACCCGGACATACTGAAAACGAATTCTATCCATTGCGATGGCGCTAATTTATCTGCAAAAGCAAAAAAGATATTTTAACTAACAGTTTTCAAATTGTATAATATATATTGTAATACAGGTTGGAAAATAAGATTCGACAATATTTTTCAGAAAAAGTTTTTGAACTTTTGGTATTAAAATTTAAAAAAAAGAACGACTTTTGATATCTTGAACTTCAATAATTTTAACTTTAAAAAAATTTAAACCGTATCAGGAGGAGTTTCTTCAATTAATGTGAAAGAATCGGTGAGAATTGGCTAACGTTTTATGAAATATGAATATAAAAATGAACAATGGATTATCCCAAAAACCAAAATGAAAATGCCTTTGAAAAATAGTAATTGTATGCATTTGCCACACCATAAGACGAGAGGTGAGATTGGATCTGTTCTTCACAAACGACAGCTTATTTTTACCCACCGTGTTTAAAGGGCTAAATCAACGTTGGTAATTACATAGACTTGTTTAAATCAAATGCGAAAAAAAACAAGTCCCTCTCAAATAGGATTTCACAAAAATCTCTGCAAAAAAATCGCACTATACGTACAGAAATTGCTGTCCAAATATCTGATAGATTCTTTTCGATATAAAAAAAAAATAAAAACGTAATATTTGTTTATGTGTCAAACTTTAATAGAAATTTTTGATTTTTGTACCGGAAGTAACCATATTCAACTACAACTATCGTCTCATTACACCACACACGTTGTCAGTGCTGAAGGTTGATTTCCCAGTGACGATCAGCGATTTAAATTTTAACGACCGTTGATTTATTGTTCAAAGAAGAAATTTTTATCTCGTGGATTTGAAACGAATTTACATTGGAATTAATTTTAGAAACGCCAGTCTTTATTAGCACCTCGATTTTTAGATAAACGCGATAAAATACAATGTATGAGATAAAAGTAAATAATCGGTGATTAAAAGTACAATAATTAATTAATTGTTTTCTCTGACGTTCAGCAGATTTACAGCCACCTTTAAGCGGCTGACTTTGCTCATATGAATGACGTGAAAAAACTTTTACAGGAGGTCGATGTTGCAGGACTTTGTTCTGACAAACCTACCCAAAAAGATGATTGTCGTTATGTTCGTGTCTCTAATTGTGTTCTCCGTTGTTTTTCTTTACGATTCAAGCATGATGGCCGACGAAATAACAACGACGTTTAGAGGGATAAATTTAAAATATTATGGTATGAGTACGACAGCTAGGAACAAAAATAGAGTCAAAATCATATGTTTTTGAATTTTAGACCAAGGGTATTTGGTGTCCAGTCCGAAGTGCAAAATTGTGGACAGGGAACCATTTTCCGAAGAAGCTTTAAGGTATTTTCGACCAACGAAATACAGATCTTGCTCAACACGACAGCTGTTATCCTTCGTAACCAAAGAAAGGAATGTTGCAACTGTACATATCAGGAATGAGGTAACGCAACAATATACAACCAGACCAATCACCTGCTGTTACTCGAACGTGAGTCGAGTAGTTGACGGTCCAATGCCCGATCACAATATCGCGTAAGTAACATGTATTACCTCATTTGTTTTTTACAAAATTGTAAGACCAACTACATACGATGCCTGGTTTCTAACTTGGTAAGAATTGCGATGGGTAAATAATAATGGTGATGACTAACTTTACCATTTTGCTAAATTACAATGATTGTTAATTGACGTAAACAAGAAAACTTTGAAACCACATTTATAACACTTTTATTGATTATAAATATTGATATTGATAGTCCTGTTATATTTAAGCACAAAAAACTGATTAACCTTATGTAAAAACATGAACTCCTCTGCAGTAAATTTCAATGTGTACTTTTTGGTTCTATTGGAAAATGTGGAAAATCATTAAATACAAATTTTAGTTTGAAAAATGTCGAGTGAAAATGACTTAACAACAAGGTATTTGAATGCTGAACCCACTCAATTTAGCGACGACACAAATTTCCTGTTTATTGATGGGTCAGTCAAGAAAAAACACATATTTTGGACACTGTGTATTTACCCGCTAGATCTTTGTATCTTTTGGGTACCAGATCACAACAAGAGAACACTTAATTATCGCTATAGAAGTAGTAGAGATGTAGCAATTGTTTGTCTCGAGATTATATGTTTTCCTCTAAATTTTTATTGTTTAATTGCAATTTAAAAAGTATTTATGCAAACACACACAAATTAACTTAAAAGAAAACAAATCTTCCTATTTATGGCATTGTTGATAATATGATCTGACGGTCGTAACAATGTAGAAACAGAATCGGTGTCATTAAAGTATTTTTTGCCGAGTTCCACCATTCTCATTCGTTAAGACCCCTTGGTTCCATGGTGTGCATCACATCATACCTTCATGCTCGTGGCGGTCTTCCGTGCTCCGTAGAAATCCACTCCTATTTTTTTTTGCCCACCGATTCGGGTACATTGTTTCGAGATGGCCGTAGCATGTTAGTTTGTTGGATTCTATAGCGTCTAATTATTATAGTTCCATCCACTCCCATAAATTGTCTTACTGTTTTATTTCTATCATGGTCGGGTCTGGATGTTCTATTGCTTCTTCTCCAGTAGTCTATCTCGACATTCTCTTTTGCTTAACCCCCAGGTTTCTGAGCCATACGTTTCTACGAGGGTGTAGTATATTATTTTTTCATTCCTTATTGTAATATCTTTGATCATAAGTAGAAAATTAAGCGCAAACATCACTCTTCGCCTTACTACTGGGGAAAGCGTTGCGTCAAGATATTGAAAATAAAGGCATCGCAGATTGCCATATACTCCGATTTTTCATGGATATTGTATATCCCAAGTGTTTATATTCTTGTTGGAAATTTCTTAGAGAACAACTTTGTCTTAGGTTTTTTGTTGTTGGGTATATTTCGGAAATTTCTTGGATTTGCTTGACTGGACTATATGTTTGGAGTACAGAGCTTTGACCGCAACACAACATTTCTCTCATAGATTTCAGTTTCGTTAATTTGAAATTGTTGTCTCTCTTCAGGCAGTAGTTTTTGTAGTAGTCTGACTATTGATGGATATCTATAAGGTTCCTATATACTTCCTCATGCTTTTTAAAAATTTCCAGGCTTTGTTCACCCCTGAATTTCCTATCTTCGTATTGACCTCGACCTGACCTAATTTTTTCCATTGCCATTGCCGGTCCCAAGCCAGGACAAGCAAGGAGGCGTACCAACCTCGGTAAAATACCTGAGTATACCTCTTGTGGGTAATAGTACCTAGTGAAGCCTGGGAATCGGGCGTAAAAACACTTTATTCATACCTAAATATAAATGTTTCATTTTACAACGCTAGCTTGCAGGTAAACAAATCTAAGCATTCTGATATGGCGTTGCTCAAAACTTAATAGCAAGAGTCATTTCTAAAAGTAATTATTATGGGGCATAGTTCATGCAAGTATGATCAAAATAACCCACATATAGTTGGAAATATCCAGTAGCTGATGTCACCATGTTTCCTGAAGTTTTGAATTGCACTAATATAAGATATTATGCCAACCATTGGTCAACCTCTGATTGATATCATGACTTTTTGTACGAAGAATTTTTATAAAAGAAATCTGGCTTCAGCAGATGTGCTTTATAAGAAATATAGTAAAACTTAAGAAATGGATCATAATGTACGATTGAAGTTTATTATTCTCACATTTTGATTAGCCATTAATAAATTAATCAATTTCTCACACAACTTGCAATTCTTAAAAATTAAGTGAAAAGATGGTGATTAATTAAATAAGGTACCAATTAAGGTTTTAAGTCATAAAAAGATGTTCCAGTGAGTTGGAAGGAGGAAAAAAAGTCCGGATTTTACTTTCAGAATATCCTCTTGCGAAACGTTCCGAGACAATGTTACGATCTCCAGCGACGCTGTTATTATTCAGTGCAAAGAAGAATCGTCTAAAAAGTTGATATACGAAAACGCGCACGCAGCAGTCACTATAACGGAAAACGTTCGGGAAAGATTAGATTCATTTGGTAACAAACCAAAACCACTAAACGTTTTGATGATCGCCGTCGACAGCGTTTCTAGGTTAAACTTCATTAGGACCATGCCCAAAACCTATAGCTTCATTGAACGGAACAATTGGTTAACGTTAAAAGGATACAACAAAGTAGAAGATAATACATTTCCGAATTTCATGGCAATTTTCACAGGTTAGTTTTGATTAGTGTTGGTAGTACAATATACTGTATGTCAAGACTGCATTACCTCCCCCCCCCTGCTTTAGAACCTAAAGTAGCTAGATATTCAATAGCACCTGTAGTTACTGAGGTAAAGTCTGTTCATAGATATAAGAAAGTGACTAACTGATACGAATTAAAGAAAGACCCGGGCAAGCTGTAAGAATGAAATATACTTTATTATTTATTATTATATACTTTGCTTAGAATTTAATTATTTGGGGTTTTGTTAGGAAATATACTAAACAATATTTATTTATTTATCTATGTATTTATGTTTAAATCTAAAATAAAATTACAAATTATTTTTATTACCTACTTAAGTTACTTAAAATTATTCACATAATATATCAGTATCATTATCGCTATCATCGCCTGTTCTAATTATTATTTGTTCTATATGTTTAACAGAATTTGCCCAACTTTGTGGACGGATGTTAAAAACTTCGGTTTCTATAAGTTTGAGGACAGTATCACAAACGTATTCCTTTTGTAGGTTCCGAACCTCAATTAATTGCTTTTTGGTATAATTTTCGTGAAAATAAATGGCGTTATTATACATGTAGTTTTGGATTGTTGCTTTTGTGTCACATGAGGAAGGGGTTTTAGTCAACTGTCTACTGTCATAACTTGCATTGTCCATTACAATTACGCTATTAGGAGGAATGTTTGCAACTAGTTTGTTTTTAAACCAACTTTCAAATAAATCAGAGGTGGTGTCTTCATGGTAATCCAGCGAAGAATCTTCAATAATTTTCGCAGACAGAGAAAGTCCAATTGAAATCCAACCATCTTTAGAGCCAGCATGCAAAATAGTTATTCTTTTACCTCTTTCTGATGGCGCGTTTGTTTTACACTTACAGTTTACAGTTGAGTCAACCCAACCCTTTTCCGGGGTATCATAAGTGTCGAACCAGGTGTCATGCAAGTTAATATAACTGGCCTTTGTTGTTCTCTGTAAATCCTAATTTTTTCTAGATATTCCAGTCGCCATTTTCGAATTCTAAAAGATTCCATTAAAACTTGCCTTTTGTCAATTTTTTTTAAATCTAAAACCCACGTGTTGAATACACTTCCATACGGTAGTTCTGCCACATTTAACACCGGTTTCATCTTTTTCAAGCCTCCTAATTAAGATATCTAATGTAGGCACGCTTTGTTCCTCGTATAACTGGTAATTTTTAAGCCGTATTATATCTTGATTACTTTCATCTACACATCAAATAAACATTGTTTATAACTTCCTTAGTCTCAATAGAATAGTGTTTTCTACATTTGGGCGGGAGCATGTCCTGAGATACTGTTTCTAACATTTAAATAATATTATAAATTTGTATTCTTCCAAACATTTTGTGCGCTGTGCACTGAAACAGCACTTTGGTAAAATATTTTGTATGTATTAAAATATTAAATTATAAAACACAAAAAATATATAGCACTTAACAATATACTGAAACCGAACTCTTAAGTAATACGAAATGTGGCATTGTTTTCAGATTTCGCCGGTTAACTTATTACGCAAATGCGAAACTTAAGTTAGCAGATAAGCGTATCGTAAATTGTAATATATTTCTTCGTACAAATAATTGACTGCTTAATTTCTACGTGCAGAGTTAATATTATTCTAAACGAACCCTTGCCCTTGGTTTTAGGTTATAACCAATCAGACGCGTCCGGGATTTGCAATCCGGAAATCGAAGGAAAGTTAGATAGTTGTCCATTTTTGTGGCAGACTTACCGAGATCTGGGATATGTCACTGCTTACGTAGAGGACGAAGCAAAAATCGGCACATTCACATTCCATAAGAAAGGTTTTAGTCGTCCTCCATGTGATTATTATTTCCGTCCCTACATCCTAGCATCTGAAAAATTAGCCGGGTATAAATTGAATGGAATGACCTATTGCACTGGTCCAGAATCTGCGGGAGAACGGATCCTGAACTTGGCGAAAGATTTTTCATCTACGTTTGCGGAAGGTCCATACCTGGGTGTATTCTGGATGAACTCGTTTAGCCACAACGAACTGAATTCCCCCATGATGTTGGACGAAAAGATTACCCAATTTTTGATTGATTTAAATTACACCGGAACTTACGACAACACAATCGTAATTCTGTTTAGTGACCACGGGATCCGATTTGGTAACATTCGAACAACAAAAACTGGTTGGTTGGAAGAACGTCTCCCTTTTATCTACTTCTCTTTCCCTTCGTGGTTTAAGAAAATGTTTCCAGCGGAATACCAAAATTTTGTTGATAATGAACGTAAACTGACGACTCCTTACGACTTTCACATGACGCTGCAAGACATATTGATTTTATCCGGGCTGAATCACGAGGTAACCCCAAGCCAAGGATGTCCAAATTGCAAGTCTCTGTTCGATGAGATCCCCGTCGATAGATCATGCGAAGAGGCTGGTATAGAAGATCACTGGTGCACGTGTGCGGGCTACGCAGATACGTCATTAGAACCGGACGTTGCAAAAATGGTATCGGACGTGATCACTGACGAATTACATAAGAGGACCTCGAACGAATCCAAGGGAGGCGGAGATCATATTTGTGCTAAATTTTCCGTAAAGGAGTTTTTAAGTACAAGACTGTCGCAACCGTTTTCTTATAAAAATGATTCGTATTTACTGGTTAGCGTGAGAACGGAGCCTAGTGCTGTCTTCGAAACAACATTAAGATTTGCGGATGATATTAGGTTAGGAAATTTTTTTGTTGGCTACATTAGTCGCCTGGATGCGTATGCAAAAACCAGCAAGTGCGCGTCCACGGACTTCTTAAAAAAGTACTGTTACTGTCTGCAGTGATTTTATTTCATTTAGCTACTAGATATATGAACGACCTGCCCATGCTGATAATACAAAAATTTTTGAAGCGACAATATGAGCATGCGCGGTCATCTGAAATCTCGTGTTCAATCAATGAAACATAGTTGCGTTCAACGACCAACATGGCGGAACACAGTTTGTCAATTTGACAGGTGTCAGTTTAGATGTAGCAATTTTAGACAGTAATTTCTCAGGTCTATTTAAATTGGGAGCATATGTTAATGCGGACATAAACGTCTGTCTGAAGGGGCCTAAATAAGGGCACTCTATTATCTAATTATTAACGTTAATCGGATTTTTTATTGTATAGGAATTTCTGGATCTCATGTATTTCTATTTTTTTACGTCTTCTATTTCCAGTATTGTTATATGTGATACGAGTATCAATAAACTCGTCTTATTTTATTATTTAATGTTATTAAGCTTAATATCCAAGAATATTAAATGGTGATGAGCATTGAAATGGCCAAAAAGCAATCCTCGTCAAAAATAACTGCTAAATTGTTTGTTTTAATAAGATATAGCTCATTAATTGGATACTGGGTGTCTGATGTCTGGTTGTGGTGGTATTTAGTTCTCGAAATAGGATTTCACTCCGCCTATTTTTTAGTTATCAATATAAGAACCGAAGGTGTCGGGAGAGTTTAAACGACAGTGAAATTAAACCAGAAGTTCAGGTTAAGAACTTTAATGAAAAGTAAGCACGGTACAGAGAATACAAATAAACAAAATGGATAAACGAAAAGAGAATCAAAAAGTACTAAGTGCAACCTTACGTACTTCTAAATGTAAATCGGGACTCGGCGAATTCTCCGGCGCGGGGCGGGCAAGGCTGTTGCCATGGTTACGGACAGACCGCATTCCCTATTCCCTAGATCGAGAGTCAGCAAAACTTTTTTCTAATAGTAGGCAATACGAACGTCAATATGAAGTATATGGCCAACGCAAGTATCCATCGCCATAACCAACTCTTTTCGAATTAACGATTGCACGATTTCAATCGATATCTCGAACTTTGTAAGAATAACGATTTCTAAACTTCAACATCTTTTTGAGCGACAGTTTGCTAAAGCATATTTGGCGATATATCATTATTTTAAACAGTGCTTTTTTGAGCATAATATGCTAATTAAATATTCATCTATTAATTTATTTATACCGATTTATTTATTTTTCAAGCTAAAACTAAATTTTAATATGATGTTTTATATAATTTATAAACACGAATTTAATAAAATCCATATAAAATTCTTTGTTATTAGCACAAACAAACAATTTCATAGCAAAAATCCGAATGTGGGAATTAGCAAATATTAATTCCTAAAGGTAAGGAGAAAGAGGGCGCAGAGAATTTGCATTTCTCAACTCAAGATGATCATACTATTCTTCCAAGTGATATCAGCGACCGATATATGCACAGTCACAGTTTAAATTACAATTAAAATGTACTTTGAATTTTATGAAAGAATTTTTAGCACTAAGAGTGACGCAAGCCCAAAAAGTAACTCCCACAGACACTCCTTGATTCATGTGAAGTGCAAAAATTAGTTAAAGTTTATTAATGTTATATTGAATACCAGTTTTAAAAGTTATTCGCCCAAATTTCTGACAATTTCTTTGATAGAGTTCATAAAAAGTATATTTTCACGTTGCAGCTCATCTTTTTGCGTATATTTGATAGTTTTGCAAATTTGAAGAAAATTATTACATTGTTCTTCAACAAAACTTCTATCGCCCTCCGATGGAATTTTATTTAAGTTATAAATAATGCGATTTGCTCTGCGCCGAACCTCCCATTTGTACCACATAAAGTCCTCGAATTGTTCGTCATTTTCTTTATGAACTTCAGCATCTCTTAAAGTTTGTTTTTTCTGACTTTCGCAAAGTCGAAGCTCACTCAGAGTGACAACCAACTTATTACTATTGCCGGTCATAGTTTCTTGACTTGTGACTTCCAATATCCCATCTTCGTCTAAATGAAAAGTGGTTTCGAATTTAACGTCACCAGCCTTCCCGGGAGGTAAATTGTTAACAACGAAAGATCCAAGCAGATTATTAAATTGACAATTTTTTCTTTCTCCTTTGAAAATATCAGTTAATACAGTATTTTGGTCGTTACGCGTGCTAACGCTGTCAATTGTGCCGCTTGCAGGCAATGGAGTATTTTTCTTTATGGCCACTGACATTAAACCCTCAAGGGACTCACCGATCGACAAAGGCGTAACTTCGGTTATTCGGTATTTTTCTAATTCCTGTAATTTTTCTTTTAAAATGGCCGCCTGTACTGCGGATCCAAGCGCTACTGCCTCGTCCGGATTTAGATCAGTCTTTAATTCCTGCTCGTTAAAATATAATTTCAACATGTCACGGATCTTTGGTATTCTGGTCGATCCACCTACCAACACAACTTCATTTATATCTTTTTTTAAGACACCTGTATTTGTCAAACAGAGTTCCACCAGACCCACAGCTCTTTGGAACAAATCTGTCGCCATCTTTTGAAAACTGTCTCGCGATATTTCCAAGTCGTAACTACCTCGACTATCAGCGATACCGTACATCGGAATAGAATAAAACTGTTTCATCGATAACTTTGTCTTAAGTTTATTGCAAGCCTTTGATAATCTTCGCATATCTCTATCATTGATAGTTGTAATTCCAAGAGTGTTTTTTATATCTAATTGAAAATGATCCGTCAAAATGTTATCGAGATATCTCCCCCCTAAGAAGGTATCACCCTCTATACCTCGTACTTCAAAAATTTTAGAATCCACGTCAACAACGGAGACATCTAGTGTTCCGCCGCCAAAATCGAATACCAAAAGTGTTGAGCTTGTGTCTCTATCCGATGTGTAATGAATAGCAGCAGCTACTGGCTCAGTGATCAACTTTAAAACTGTGAACCCGGCCATTTCTGCTGCAGCCTTGGTAGCTTTCCTTTGTGCGTTGCTGAAATGTGCCGGAATTGAAATCACAGCCTCCGTAATTTCAGTTCCGAGGTATTCGTTGGCTGATTCTCTTAAATATTTCAGTATTTCCGAGCATACTTGCACTGGGGTTTTGGTGACTACCAATCCATCATGTTTTAACTGAATTTCGGCGTTATCGCCTTCGCCTGGTACAATTTTGAATCGGATGTTATTGGATTTCATAAGTTCATGTATGTATATGTCGCTGTATTTTCTACCAATGATCCTCTTCATATCTGCAAGTAAAGTAGATTTATCAATTTATTGATGAATTTCGAGAGGCAAAAGTTACATCGCATTTAGTGAAATTATACCATAGATTATTACCATAAAAAACACATAAAAATCATCTTAAATTGTTAGTTGTCCAAAGGATGCCTGAATGACCTATTTATTACTGATATATCTTTGTAGCACCTACCTGTAGGATATATTATACTTTTAAAATAGTCGCGATGCAGTTGGATCAGTATTCATAACTGTTTGCTTATGGAGTCATTTTACTTAATTTATACTACAAATAAACGTTTCCTTCTCTATCTGTTAGAGTTCATAATGACGAGCATACAAAATATATTTCCAATTATATTATCTTGTCAAAATAAGGGCTAGTATTCAGCTCGACATGCAAACTTAGTTTAGTTCATATTACCTCATTAAATAAAGCTTCAACTCACCAAAGAGAAAATTGCTAATACTTGTAGGTGGTCGATCATCAGCAGTCGTTCCGACAGATACATCCAATGTTTCGGGTTCATAAAATACAAGAGATGGCGTTAAGCGTCCTCCTTCCTTGTTTGGAATGATTTCCGCCTTTCCATTTCTGTAGACTGCGGCACAAGAAAACGTAGTCCCAAGATCGATTCCTATAGCGGGTCGAGAACTCATAACTTTTTACAAACGCGTTCTGCAATTAATTTTATAAACTATTTCATAAATTCGCAAATTATCTAAGTGACTAATTACATCAAACTTTGAAATATTATTTGAACGGTGCAGCGTTCGTGATAAGACTGGAGCATAATGAAATTGCAGGTAAAAGACGATGACGATATCTAATTGATAAAATGGGGGAAGTAAACTGATTAGATTACAAAATTAAGGATTATATTAACAAATTGCAAGTGAATTTCTCGATAGGCAAAAAAAATCTTCCCAAATATTATTTAAAGGGTGTGAAATAAAACAACTTACTATTTTGTACCATACTAATATAGACATATACAGTAGCAAAAAAGTAGTCATACAAATTTCAACATAATCATTCACACAATCCATTTAATTCCTAATATAGAAATTCAACTGTAAATTTCCTGTTTTCCCACAGGAAATCTTATACATCTTTTAATTGGTGAGGTAGGTATATATTTCGTTAAAGGTGCATCGTTATACAGTATTACTAGATTCGATTTAAGTGAAGTGTTGCTCCAATTATACAGTTATTAGCAAAAACTTTGTTCATAAGTTCAACTCAGAGAACGTAAGTGTGTTGAGATACATTTTTTTATCGTCCAACGTCAAATTTATTGAATTAAACACCAAAATATCAAAATGTTAAACTATTTTGTCCTCCCCTACAAATACATTGAAACCCTTCAATACGGACACTTCTATTGGGCAGACACTCCTTTAACCGGACGCTCCATTAAACGGACGAGGACAACACTGTTCTGAATTAAAAAAAAAATACCTCTCTTAAACGGACGCGAACCTCCAATAACAGGACAACGCCATGCTAAAATATCGGGGAATTATCTTTTTCCTAATCCTATAGGGGAATTACCTTTTTCATTTTTCATATCACATCGTATTATTCATTACGCCGTGACTTGCACTTTAATTTTGCAAGCAAATGCCGTAAGTGGATTCCACAATTTTTTAAAGAGTACCTACTAAAAAACTGCTTACCTTGCGAGAAAAAATGGAAATTGTAAGGTTTCGGAAAAGGAAAATTTGTCAGCTCGCAGAAAAATGTAAAATCGGGAAAACTCAAGCGGCCGAAACTGTGAAAAATAAATACAGCATTCGTGTACGGTGGGAGTCGGGAAGCAAAATTGACCAAAAAAGAAATTTTTGTAAAAACTGTGTGTTTTGATTTGTTTTCTCCGTTGTGAGGTTAACACATTCCAATATCGGGCCAAGGCTCAAGAAATAGCCGAAAAACTTAATGTTCGAAATTTTAATGGATGGCTGGAAAAGTGCGATAAATTTTAAGTGTATCAACGGAGAATCAGCAGATATGGGTCAAGAAGACGTAAATCAGTTTAAAGATAAGTTGCCCACACAGCTCCTCGGATATCGGCCACACGATGTTTACAATGTCTTTCGAGTCTTACCTAAACTTTGAAATCCGAAAAATCTAGTCATGGAAAGCATGGCAGGACAAGAAAAAGATTTGCTCGTGATTGGAAAGGCTGCTCGACCTAGGGCATTAAAATTAAAAAATTACCGGCAATATAGAAATTTAACAAGAATACATGGATAACTCGAGACATTATGAATGAGTGGTTGTTACAATTTGATTGAAAAATGGCCCTACAAACTCGAAAAATTTTATTAATCTTGGATAAAGCAGCATCGCACCCCCGTGAGGCAAAATTACAAAACATAAAAATTATCTTCTTGCCTCCGAATAAGACATCAGTATGTCAACCTCTAGATCAAGGTATCATACAGAATGTTAAATTCTATTATCGTGGACTCATACTGAAGCACATTTTATCAAAGATGGATCAAGTAATATCCGCGACAGATTTAGCAAAGTCTGTTAATATTTTAAAAGCACTTTATTTGATTAAGTCAGTCTGGAATAAAATTGTTTCAACAAAGCTGGTTTCCGAAAAAATAATGATTTTTCTACATCAATGCAATGGGCTCCAGAAGATAATATCCCATTATCTACGATACTTGAAATGGAACCATGTGTTAGAGAAATGAACATAACGCAAGAAGCTCTTGGAATCTACATTGGAATCGACAATATTACAGCAACTGAGGAGACTAATTTATGCAATGAAGATGCAATTGAAAACATGAAAGAACCTGAACCGGAAGAAGACAGCGGTCAAGAATATGATAATGGGGAACCTAGCACAATGAACATCTATAATGAAGGCTTAAAGTTTTTGCTAAAGAGATCATGTTCAGTCGAGTCTGTTAAAGCAAAAAACAATAAATATGCGTCAGACTAATATTTTTGAGTTTGTAAATAAATAATTAAAGTTCATTAACCTACATTTTTTTCTACAGTTTTTTGTTTGTTTTTAAAGAAATAAACGTAATATATATTTGCGAAACTTGTTTCGACTAGGATAGATGACGTCACTACTCGCCCTGAATTTAGTTAGTTATTGCTTCGTTCTGTTTTTTTGCATCAATAAGTTTGATATACGAAACTTTAGTCGCAAGTGTCACAAGGGAAGCAAGTGTAAGTTTTTCAACGTACTGGATATCATACTTTTCCAACAATCGCCGCATTTTTGCAAAACGCTAAGTGACGTGATGAAGATACGGGTTCGACTGTACAACATTATGCCTTCAAATTAAGGAAAATATTGAGAAGAGAAGAAGAGAAAAGAATTCTGATAAATTGAATATGATGTGTGTTTGTTTAAAAGCATTGCTAAGTATGTGTCCGAACCTGAGTAAGCCGTTTGATAACGCTTAATTATCAATAATGAGTATAGATACCATATAATACCACCACTACAACCCAAGTATCATTTGAATATCACTTATTAAATCTCTAAAACGACTGAAAAATTAATCAACATAGCCATAGTTATTGTTCTCGAACGAATAAGGAAAGACACAATATCATAGTTTGTCAACAGATCTGGAAACCACCAAATTAAATTCCCAAGTTGATAGTTATTTTTTGGTTGGTTGGTAGTTCGATTGTTCGAAAATTATTAACCCAACAATTGATTTAATAGAATCTTGCTGGTCATGCTTTAATGGCATATAACTTCTAATATCCCATCTTCGTCCAAATGAAAAGTAGTTTTGAATTTAACGTCACCGGCTCTTCCAGGAGGTAGATTATTAATAACGAACGATTTAAGCAAATAATTAAACTGACAATTTTTTCTTTCTCCTTTGAAAATATCGACTGATACAGTTCCCTGTTCATTATTTATCTCTTAATTGTGCCCCTTGCAGGCAGTGGGATGTTTTTCTTTATGACAACTGACAAATAGGAGTCAAGCAATTGACCTATTTAAAAAAGCATAACTTTTTCAATTCATATAACTCTTCTTGTAAAGCGGCTTAATCTGAAGTTGAAATTAGTGTTTAATTCCTTATTGTTGCAATATAGTTTGAAAATGTCAGGGAGTTTTGGTATTCTTGTCGAACCACCCCCCAACACAACTTCTTTTATATCTTCTTTTGAAATACCTGTACTTTCCAAACACATTTCTACAATATACGCAGCTCTCCAAAGCAGACCCATCGTTAAATTTTCAAAATTTCCTAGCGATATCACCAAATCAGAGCCGGTTGCATTCCCAGAGTTGAGTTGAGATAAGTTGATAACTTTACTTTAGGTTGATTGCAATCCTTTGTTAATCTTCGAATATCTCTGTCATTAATCGTTATTATTCTAAACATTGACATGGTGGATGCCAGTCATAACTGCCTGTAGCTAAACAAAGAATGTATTTTATTTTTCAAAAAATCCATTGGTCATTGAAAACGCATAAAAGCGCGTCTGCGTAGGCGTATGAATTCTAATACCAATGAAAGTTGCCAATATTTTTTTTTAAGCGCATTGCCGGAGTGAAACATCGCCTATTAAGGATATAATTGCGACTTCACGTTAGCTTATCTTATCTAGAAGTACAGGCGAACTCAAAAAATGCATTTTCAGGAACACGTATGTTAGAAAAGTCCACGAGGCACCAGTTAATAGCAGATTCGGACACAGGGTATCGGAAATTACCTTCTCTAAACTGGTTCGAATTTCGATTTCAGTTTACCAAAGTTTTCTCGTAATGTCGTTTTACATAAAGCTGAAAAATGTTCAACAAACGAAAAAGAAAATTGCTCATGATTGTGGGTGATCGATTATCGGCAGTAGTTCCAACAGATACATCCAATGTTTCAGAGTGAAATGGCCTTAAACGCCCTCCTTCTTTGGAATGATTTCAGACATCTCTGTAGACTGATACATTAGAAAACGTAGTGCCAAGATCTATTCCTATAGCAAATCGGGAACTCATCGCTGTTTGAAAGTGCTTTCTGAAATTATTTGTGGGACCAATATTATATCAGTACCTGAAACTCCAAATAATTAAAAAGATTATATTAAAATAGATTCCGGGAATATTAAGAAAACTTCTATACTAAAACCAATAAGAAAACTAGATATAGCAGAAATTTTCACTTTATTCTCTTTATTGTTACATTATAACTATACGACGTAATAGCACAGAAAGCTAAATATATTAAGGGCTCATCTATGTATGGGATGGAAGGAATTGCGTCCACAATAAATACGTTTAAATGTTTTTTTTTCTTATTCGCGATTGGCTTTCTTCCTTGGCAGTACACGGCACGCGAGAAAGCGAGAATTGAAGTGCTCTAGTAGAGTAAGTACCTACCAAAATTTAAGTTTAAGTTGGTGGTCGTTGCAATATTTTCTTAACCAAGATCGGCCGTATACATCCTACCCACATGCACAAAAACGAAAAACTCAACTATTTTGTTACAGTTCATTTATCTCCCCAAAGAGAGCTTTCAACGACTAAGTAGTTCTTATGCTCTATTACAAATATGGCTGCTAATCGTTCATCAATCCGACAGTTTTCAGTTGTGAGACAGTATTATGTCAAAATATGTCTAGATTCCTTGAATTTTTAGAGAAAAGCAAATTAAGTGTGTAGAGATCGTTACTTAGAAAGAAAATAGTGCAAAATGGAGATTAGTGTTTTAGATTCAAAAACCGATGCGTATGGTTCATATGTGAGCTAATTTTATTTTATAATATAGAAATGTTCTTTAAACGTGTAATGTGAATTGTATCGGTCTACGTTTTATTTTGTTTTCTAAGATTTGAGATCAACTAGTCCCAATCTAGGTAAATTTAATATTTCAATTGCTATGTAAAAATTTCGTCTGGGAAAAAAATAATGTGCCACTTTTAAAATATATCAAAGCGTACACATAAATTTGTAATTAAAATTTTAGGCCAAAAGAGTTACACACCGCTTCTCATATTTTACTTCTCATATTAATGTTACTATTAACATACTCAAATACTATTGCAAACTGTTAGCTGTTAAGGGATCAACTCTGGAACCCCCAATTAAAAGTTGGTTCGAGAGTAATAAAATTAATCACTAAAATTTCCAACAATTGATTGAATAGAGTCAATAAAAAGTTCATGTTCGGATGGAATATCGTCAATGTCGTAGAGAATCCCATTTGCTTGGTGTCGCACGGCAGATTTATACCGAATAAATTCTTCGAACTTATCATCCACTTCTTTATATATCTGCGCATCGGTCAATATTTTCTTTCTTTTATTTTGACAAAGTCGAAGCTGATCCAGAGTCACAACCAGCTGATTATTATTACCGGTAATTACAAAATGCTTCCGTGCACTCGTGGTAATGCAGTTAATTGTGCCACTTGCAGGCAATGGAGTATTTTTCTTAATCGCAACTGACATGAAACCGCCAAGGGACTGACCGATCGACAAAGGCGTAACTTCGGTTATTCGGTATTATTCCAATTCCTGTAATTTTTCCTTTAAAATGGCCGTCTGTACCGCGGTACCAAGCGCAACCGCTTCGTCAGGATTTAAGTCAGTTTTTAGTTCCTTATCTTCAAAATATAATTTCAACATGTCACGAACCTTTGGTATTTTGGTCGATCCACCTACCAATACGACTTCATTTACATCTTTTTTGAAGAGACCTGTACTTGCCAAACAAAATTCCACCAGACCCATAGCTCTTTGAAACAAATCTACCGCCAAATTTTCAAAATTGTCTCGCGACATCTGCAAATCGTAACTGCCTCGACTACCAGCAATACCGTACATCGGAATGGAATAGGACTCTTTCATGGACAACTTTGCCTTAAGTTTATTGCAAGACTTTGACAATCTTTTCATATCTCTATCATTCATTGTTTCAATTCTGAGAGAGTTTTTTATATCTAATTGAAAATGCTTTATCAAAATGTTATCAAAATCTTGACCTCCTAAAAATGTATCACCCTCAATTCCTCGTACTTCAAAAGTTTTAGCATTGACGTCAACAATAGACACATCTAGAGTTCCGCCGCCAAAATCAAACACCAAGAGTGTTCATCGCGTGTCTCTATCCGATGTATAATGAATAGCAGCAGCTACTGGTTCCGCGATCAACTTTAAAACGTTGAATCCGGCCATTTCGGCGGCAGCTTTGGTAGCTTTCCTCTGTGCGTTGCTGAAATGTGCCGGAATTGAAATCGCAGCATCCGTAATTTCAGTTCCTAGATATTCGTTAGCTGATTCTCTTAAATGTTTCAGAATTTCCGATCACACTTGCTCGGGAGTTTTCGTAACGATCAATCCACCATGTTTTAATTGAATCACGACATCGTCTCCTTCTCATGGACCAATTTAGTAGCGCACATTGTTGGATTTGATTAGTTCCTGTATGTATATGTCGTTGTACTTTTTGCCAATAATCCTCTTCATATCTGCACAGAGAAACCAATTAAAACGCGTTATCGAAAACAGTTCAAATGAATTTTCAATGTATTTGCATCCCAAATGACAGATTGAGAACAATAACATTATAATGACACCCGCCAAGGACATAATGGAGGCATTTTGAACAAAAGTGTATGGCATAGCGGGATTTAAAATACACAAATCAGATATTAAGTTTGCAACGTGGGTAAAAAGATGTATCAAATGTGAGTTTTCGATTTTCAATTAATTTGTCAGCATTTTGGGGAAGAAAAATTTGAGTTGTTACGAATGTGTTTCGATGCATTTTGAATTTTTTGTAACTCTTCTATAAATCAGCGAAAAATGATAAACCTTCAAAAAATTATAGTTGTCATTAAATAGAGAAATTATTTCTGTTTCTTGCGTTTAATAATTGCAAACTCCGAGAGCGAATAGTTGATGTGTTTTAAAAGTTCGCCAGCACGTCATTTAATGGGCGTAGACAGGTTCTCTTTGTGAAATGACAGTTCTTGTAACAACTACTTATGTTTCAGCAGTTCCGAGAAACCACCTAGCTCTAATAGGATGAAAAGTCTTTCTTATATCTACTCAATATTCTTCAAGCTCCAAAACACTATGAAACACTTTTAAGCACAATCAAAATTTTTCTGAGATTCACTCAGTTGTTACGTTCCCAAGGTATCGGGATCGTAAAATACAAGCGACGGCGTTAAACGCCTTCCTTGTTTGGAATCATTTCCGCCTTTCCATTTCTGTAGACTGCCACACAAGAAAACGTGGTTCCAAGATCGATTCCTATAGCAGGATGGGAACTCATAGTGCCTGTTAGAATTGTTTTGGTAAGCTGTTTTACAGATTCGTGGTTGCGTTTAACCAGGTAGATCATTAATATAAACTTTTAAGTAAGATAATAATGAACTCGGCGTAAATCCCCGCTTTTGAGCGGCTACAACATTATCTAAAATGAGTAAACGAAGCAATCAAAGTACTTGATGAGAGGCTTAATGAAACTGCAGGTGAAAAACCATCGAAGTAAATTGATTAGATTACAACTTAAAAATTTAAGCGATAAACTTTTAAGTGAAATCATCAATAATCCAGATAAAGTGCGATGCATTTTACGCTACTTTCAATAGAACTGTTTTTTCGGAAAGTCAGGAGCCGTCGCGAAGAGTATTATTCAATAAATTATACGTGAAATTACTTCCGTTAGTAAAAAGCATCGGAACGTTTGAATATATCTAAAACTGCCAAAGCTGGAACCATAAAATTCAATATCTGGAGGTTTTTGAACAGGCAAAGTTCAAGATATTTATAACTCTGTTAACGTTTCACTGATAGACTTCTAAAGTTTCCTATATTCAAAAACCTCCAAAATTCCATTTAAGCTAACAAAATTACAACGTGTAATGTAAAAGTGGTGAATCTGACAACATTGCTGCTATCCTTTTTGAATTCTGTATGCTCAAAAATCCTTTGTCCATCCAGCTTTGGTAGTTTTAGATATATTTGTACTCCGAATTATACTCATTTTAAATGACGTCATATTTGTTTATCTTTGTTTAATATATTCCAAATAGCGGTGACAACCAAGAAAAAAAAAATGAATGTCAGATAATTATTCATTTTTTATTTACCTATATTGTGAAAAAGTTCTTCCAGTCAAACACAATGATTTGTCAACTTTTAGAAATTTCTCTCAAAAAGTTTTAAATAATGCCGAGAAAAAGATAAAACAGGTATGTGGGTTCTAAATTGCAATATTTATTTTAACCAGTTGGTATGGTCTGTTCATAGATATAAGAAAGTGACCAATTGCTTTTGAATGGGATTATCCAAGGGTGGTTATTAACATACAATGCACCAAGAATATTACTTAAAGTTTCGGAGTTTAAATTCAGGTAAAATGGTCCGTAATAGAAAATAATTATTCAAAAAATCTAAGGCATACAGTTTTAAGGCTTCCTTCCACCTTACTACTGTATATTTAATCCCATTGAACATGATTGGCACCAACTGAAATCTGCCACCGAAGATTTTAACATCCCTCCACAAAGTTGGGCAAATTCTGTTAAAAATATAGAAGAAGCGGAACAATCGTGTATCCATATTGCAAATAATACCGATAGTGATACTGATATATTATGTGAATAATTTTAAGTAATTTAAGTAGGTAATAAAAATAGTTTGTAATTTTATTTTAGATTTAACCATTAATTCATACATAAATAAATAAACATTGTTTAGTATTTTTCCTAACAAAACCCCAAATAATTAAATTCTAAGCAAAGTACTTACCTGTTATTAATTAATTTAATTAAATTAAGACAATTCAAGGAACGTTTCCTTAATATCCCCAAGGTAACATTATCATATATGTCAGCACCGTATACTGACAATGTCACTCTTAATCGTCAACCAGTAGTTTGTGACAATCAGCGAACATACGTTTTTGGTAACCAGCATTACCGATTGCTATTGTTTTGGCTATAAGCATTGCTATACTTTTTACCAGCCCGGTATGTCATATCCTAGTGAAAGATACAATGTAAGTTTCCAATGACAACTATCTTCGTGTGGATGCGCGTTTCGCTAAGCCGGAATACGTAAAATACGAGAAACGTGAAGATTCAAGTATTATCTTAAGTTAATTAAGGGTGTGTCTAATAATATGTTATCATTCGCTTTTGAAAGCATAAGATAATAAAGCGTGGTGGTAAGGTCTCCTGCAAAATTTTCAAAATCACCCCTTATATGCAGAACATTTGGATGAGAGGATGCAATATACTGGAAATTCAAAAACTTAATTTACCTTTTTTGAAAACTTTCCACTGTGCTATGAATAGATCAGTTTTAGAATAGAATTAGTTTAAAAATGATACTTTTAATTAAAAAACAATTCAATTTATTAATTTAGTTGAATTATATATATTATTCATATAATAACAGGGAGAAAGCATATAAGTAATAACGATCCAATTACACGTAATATCGATTGATTTTGCCTATTGGGTTAGATCAAGAACAAAAAAAGATAACAGAAACGATTTCACAAACTTTAATAGTTAATTATACAAAAACAATTGACACTATACTTAGAAAATAATATTACTGAACATTTACTATTACCAACTTTTATAAGGAACTTATATCGTCAGTTGAAAAACTCCTTGGTATTTTTCCTATTTCGAATGAATCCAAAAAATATCCCATCAAATTTTCTTCGGAAAAACTAAAAAAATTGCTGGCCTTCCTGGATGTATTCGGCTTGAACTTAGTGACGTTGCGCCAAGACAATCCCAAGTCGTCAAAAAATCTAGTTGGAAAACATGTTACCGAAATATCCAAGGTGTTTTGCATGTCCATTGCTCCTAAAATAATTCAAGTAACCTTGTATTGACATAATGTTTAAGATTGCCAGATATAATTGATTGCAATTTTGATTTTCAGCTAGTCCAAGGACGGACCAATGAAACATCCTAAGGAGAAAGTGATAGGAAAAAATACTCGAAATTGGTAAAATTGTTGAGACACAAATCAGAAATGTACTAAATACAATATACAAAAATTTTAGAAAATGATTGCTTATCGTTTATCGCAATAACACTATCGCTAGTTTTTAAATGTTATGAAAAGAACTTACGCCCCGAAGTAGATGGTCGAACAACTTCTGAACTGTCGATGTCTCGAAATTGAAATGTCACGTGACTAGGCCCAGCAACATTTTCGTACGCGGGGGGCGGAGATTCCGGAACGCTCGTAGGCGTTGTTTGACAACTCTTGGACGCACTTACAACGGAGGTTCTTCTTTCCGTATCGACTGTACCGGCACGTAATAAAGTCGATGTTTTGGATGCCTCTGATGTCTGACTTTTTTTGGATGATATACTGTTCGATCTACATCAAAATAAGAAGGACTAATAAAAATATCACTGCTGAATTTAAAGTAAAAGTGTATTTTAGTTAGTATTAGTATTTATTCTGCTGTATTTCAAAGAAACTGTGAAATCCTGTTTCTGTTGTTAGCCCTTTGGCGTGGACTCGATTGATCACGAAAATTTAGACAACCCAACAATTTGAATTGTGAGCTTATAAATTTAATTGTTGTTGCTAGCACAACAACACAATCTCCATATTTATACAGGGTAAAACATGGTAAAATAATGGTACTAAGTCAAGTAACAAAAATTCGAAATCGTAATATATATATATATATATATATATATATATATATATATATATATATATATATATATATATATATATATATATATATATATATATATATATATATATATATATATATATATATATATATATATATATATATATATATATATATATATATATATATATATATATATATATATATATATATATATATATATATATATATATATATATATATATATATATATATATATATATATATATATATATATATATATATATATATATATATATATATATATATATATATATATATATATATATATATATATATATATATATATATATATATATATATATATATATATATATATATATATATATATATATATATATATATATATATATATATATATATATATATATATATATATATATATATATTACACACTTCGAACACTCGTGTTCGTGTTCGAAGTGTTTTCGGAGCGCGAGCATTGAAGATGCCAAGTGAGATTTTGGCGAAACGTCTGCAGGATTCCAGTCGGAGTTCAACGAGCGAACGGCTGATATCCCGGAATATAGTGTCATCACATTTTTCCATCCGTGAATCAATACGTGAGAATATATATATATATATATATATATATATATATATATATATATATATATATATATATATATATATAGCTTGTCAATTTTTTTTTTAATTTTATTTTTAACGCAGTGGGTTTCATTCTCAACAGAATAAGCTGGCATTTTACACACAACTGTGATCTAGTAAAAGTCATCGTTACAAAATAAAAGTGTTTCGGAAGTCTGCCAGTAAAGGGCACTTTACCTAGAATATTTATTTTATTTTCCCTGTATTTTATTTATTTACACCGATATTGCAAAATAAAGCAGATTGCCTTAAGCAGGATCCTCAGAAATTGTTACTCTTCTTTTTAAGTAGATATGTGTTTTCATTTAGCCACAAATCCACTTTTTTATTCTCGACTCGAATTTTACCAATAAATATGATTTTACCTAACATTATTTAATCAAATTTGGAAAAGTTATAGTCATAATCCGTTAAAAGTTATTTTCCATTACAAGAACTTATTATCCAACTGCTACCCATCAGGAATATTCAAATACTAAATATCGCGATATGCATTTTTGCTACGGAAGAGCAAATGGAAATGCAGATCAAGCCCGCCAGCTTTATATCGCGTCTTATCCCAATGGAAACGTTCTACCTGCTAAGACATTCATCATCATACCCAGAAGACTGATTCATTCAAACCTGAATAAAGGGAGACCAGGGTATAAAAGAACCGCTGCAAGAGAAGAAGGAATATTTCAAAATGTGGTCAACGACAAAAGAAATTTGCTGCTCAGGAAAGAATTGCTTGATCTACAGTTTGAAGGCATTTAAAGTCTTTGTTGCGAAATCACTAGAAATCGGTTAGTTAGGTTAGGCGTATTTTTTGTGTTCGAAAGCATTTTTAAAAATGTAAGGGGTGTTTTTTTTTCGATGTATAGAACTTTAAGTTGCAATAAAACAACGATGGATTATTCGATTGACATGAATTTTATTTATCCGAAAAATAATCTTGTGGCATTACATTTTAAATATGATTTCTGGCATATGACCGCCACGGCTGGCGCGGATGTAGTCCAATCTGCCTTTTGTGACCATATATCGGCAATAACACGGCGAATGTTGTCTTCCAAATGGTCAAGCGTTTGTGGCTTATCCGCATAGACCAATGACTTTACATAGCGGTGTTAAATCACAAGATCTTGGAGGTCAATTCACAGGTTCAAAACGTGAAATTCGGAGGTCACCAAACATGTCTTTCAATAAATCGATTGTGTCACGAGCTGTGTGACATGTTGCGTCGTCTTGTTGAAACCACATCTCCTGGACATCACGGTTATTCAATTCAGGAATGAAAGAGTTAGTAATCATAGCTCTATACCGATCATCATTGACTATAACGTTCTGGCTATGATCTTTTTTGAAGAAGTACGGACCAATGATTCCACCAGCCCGTAAAGCGCACCAAACAGTCAGTTTTTCTGGATGTAACGGTGTTTCGACATACACTGAGAATACATCACTTGACAGCTGTTAAATCGGTCGCCATCTTGAACAGTAATGCCCACTTAAAGTTCTATACATCGAAAAAAAAAGCACCCTATACAAGAAAATGTTTAGAAATGAAGGGTGGGCATTTTAAAAATGATTTGTATACTGTTTAATTGCCGATTATTATTAATACCACTAATATAATTAATAATAATTAATTATTAATACTAATCAATAACGCTGTTCTGTTTTGCAATATCAGTCAAAATAAATAAAAAACAGGGAAAATAAAAAAAAATGTTCCAGGTAAAGTGCAATCTAGTGACAGATTTCTGAAGCACTTTTATTTTGTAACGATGACTTTTACTAAATCAGGACTGTTGAGAAAAATTCGTTAAAAATAAAATTAAAAAAAACGAATATTGACAAGCTGTAACTCCGAAAATATTACGATTTCGAATTTTTCTTACGTGACCATTATTTTGCCAAGTTGAATCTTTCCTCCAAGTTTCCGAACTCAATTTTCGAACACTCTGTATAATATAAGGTACAATCGCAATCAATTTGCGAGCTGGAATATACTAAGATATTTCCAAAATAGGAGATACTTGCTTTTTATTTTGCCAGTGAGCGCTGCTCACTTTTTTGAGATATTTTAAAACGTCCGTATATTCAGGGGGCGGTTCGTAATCGGGGGGATCATCGGGAGTTATTATTTCTTCCTCAAATTCAACCACGCCTTCTTCTGTAACGATTAAAAAATTTATACAGACTTAAACCATAGATGACGCTCTATATGGTGCTGCAGATCAACACTGACAAATACCTACCCAAAATGGCGTGAATAGTTTCAATATGGTCGTGAATTTGCCTCTGGTGACGAGCCCGGACGTTGACTCTGTACAACAACAGCGCCATTGCAATTATAATTCCCATTAATCCTGAAAGAGTTAGTAGAAACGAAGTTGTATATTTGTGTTTAATATGTTACCAAATGTACACACGATAAACACGAATGTGGCGGTCGACAAATCAGAATAGCCATCGGTCATAGGAAAAAGAAAATTCGGAATATTGGAGTATTGTCTACGATCTCTGGGATCTAGAAAACGATACATTGGGATGCGCAATATCTAGATTAAACCAATAATCACCTTGGGAACATTCGGTTGGTTCGTCGCTGTTATCACCACAATTATCAAATCCGTCACAGTTTAGCAATCTGGATATGCACTTTAGGTTGTGACATAGAAAATCTAGTCCAGAGAAACACTCTAAAAAGATATTTGGGTTACTACTAATAGTTTGATCTACTGGCAAAAAACACTAATTATTATACGATGACTGATGAAACTAAAGACACTAAGCACATTCCAATCAGCAGCAACAGGAACGTCGCGATTAAACATTTCACCTTTAGAATTAAAAGCAGCGTATACAATGGTAAGTTTGGACTGTAGCTTAAATAGTCCGCGCAAGGAAATGTAAAATCCCTCTCTTATCGGCACCACATGCTCTTTTCGTTTGGCAACACTGTGAAACGGATATCTCAAAACCTCAACAGGGGACTCCGTCGAGGTAATACCTGGTCGCACAATAAGCTCTGTTGCGCCAGCTAAAAAACGCTTCGTTAATTGTTGATCTCCATGCATTAATATGAAAAAATCCGTTTTCAAGTTACTTGCCGAAATTGGTAAAGTTTACCACTTTGATGTACAAATGGGTTTTTCTAAATAGATAATTCACAGGCGGTTTTACGATCCAAACGCAGTCAAAAAAAATCTCGGACTCTTCTACCGTATTCATCATATTTATTGCACCACCGAGATTGTTAACGTATCCTCCACAAGCTGAAACCCAGATATCATTTTATCGTGCGATATACCAACGAGTGTTTGGAAAAATTAACAGGCTGAAAAAAAATTATGTGCGCAGGAGTTTTTTTAATTGCCAAACAAAAAGTATCAATTTCTTACGAATTTTGCCAATTAAGGGTATTTGTAAATTGATTTATCTGCATAGGTTACCAGTATTTGCTTTGATGACTCCGTCACCAATATTTTCCAAGATGAATGAATATGTAGCTTTAAAACCAATATTTGATGCCCCATTAGCGTAGAACTTCATCGTTAAGTTGGGACCCGTTGTAATTACGATGGGCGGTCTAAAAATGTTTCCCGTGGTCACATACATCCTTTGGCCATTCCAATCGAAGAACTGAAATTTAATCGGTAGAGTGGATCGTTAGGGGAATGCAGCGAAAACACTTACTTCCACTATCGACGACTGGGCTACCAAAAAGTCGGTAAATATTAAACGTATACGACACTGCTCTTTGGAATGGCACGCAATAACGTACTCCACACTCAAATCCTTGGGATAGAGATGAGGGAAAAAGGGAGAGGTTACTATTTGACTGTTGTTGTTGGCTTGTCCGTGCTTCGGATAGCCGTCATATTTGATTGCATTTTCTAAAAAAATGTACCCGTTCATTGATTAAGTTCCGCGTAAACACTAACCAAAACTAAAAATTTTCTCAATTATACAGAATGGGTTAAGTGGTAGTTATCATCAGACTCCAAGGGAGTGCTAAGTGATAGTGGTTAACGCTATTCGTTTGAACGCTTAATTTTACAAAGCAAAACCAAAGGAAGAAGGGGAACTGTAGAAGCTTGCGCTATATTAGATAGCTATAATATATGACCGTACGCAAAATGTCGCTTTGCGGTACTTGCAGCTACTCCCGCTGCTTGGCCGCGGATTGGGAGCCTAATAAACCGCTTATAGTATCCTGACATTTGTCAGCTCGCTGGAAACGTCTCACGTCACTCAGTGAATGCATAAAAGTACTGAGAGTGAATTCGTGCTTTGATAAAAATGATTCTGCAAAAAATTTACTGTACTTTGTTTCTCAAGTCGTGGCTTGGAAGTAACCGGATGTTTTTAGTTTTCGTAGAACGCTTTTGGTATTTTGACGTTAGTTTTGCATGTTCACTCAATGCATGTGCTTATTTTGCTATTTTAGAGTAGGGAATAAAAAAATAATTTAGGTATCTTTGACAGTGTGAAATAAACAGAACACAAGCAAGCATACTACAGTTCAGACAAAATAGACTTTTAATCGTTTTTAGTGACTTTGGTGCTTCGTAGTTTAGTTTTGTTAAAGAGAGTACTCAGGCAATATTCAAAATTTGAATAATGAAATTTTCTATCACACAATCTTATATAGACAAAAATCCGCTCGAAGTTAGCTGCAGTAATTAAAAACAAGTGTTTCTATTTAGCAACTTTTAGTTTGCATATTGGCTGCAAAACGTAGTTAAATTTAGCACAAGCAACATCATTAAATGTTTAATTGGCTAGAACTAAGTTACGCAAATAAGGACACTAACTTGTTGAGTGAAATTCTAAAGTGAAAGCATGCCCATAGTTACTGTGAAAAAAAAACGTCACAGCCACAGATCTCGTGCGACTGGTATAGTCCAAACTCGATATATTGTTTTGAATGAATCTCCCACAAAACTGCTCTCCAGATGCGTCCTCAAACGGTGGTTCGTGTATGAGGACATAGTCGCAACCGCAGTTGTCAAAAACTCGGGACGTGCCGCAATTTCTAGACGTGTTTAAAAAACTGAAAAAAAAAAACTATACAACATAGCAAACATTTACTACATATTTGGCAATTTTATAAACAAAACGCAATATTCATGTATCAGGACCAGTTGCAGAAAAACGGTAGTACTTTTATAATCGCCACCAAGGACCCGAATGCTACCAAATTGACAATAACGGATTCTCTTGCTCTCTTCTTTTCGGCAATCGGATCTTTTGGAGAATCACCTCCTCCAATCTGTAATCGTCGCATAATAATATTGAACAGGATAGGCAAATCTAGAAAATATTTTTTGACGTCTGTGTGTGACGTGACGTGACATGTGTGTGTGTGTGTGTGTGTGTGTGTGTGTGTGTGTGTGTCACAGAACACAATAAGTAAAGTACCTTCTACATTTCGAAGAATAAAATATTAGAAAGTTTAATAGAAGCATTGTCCGGAAATTAGAAACTTTACTGCAAATGTTATTCTAGAAGAATTTGTGAAATGCTTTGGTTATTGTGAAATCAACTCCCAGTGTTTAATTGGAATATTAATTTTTGATAGGTTGATAGATTGGACAGATACATAGAAAGAAATATAAAAAACAATGAGCAGACTTTCAGCATCTATATTTGAAACAAACTATTGGCATGTTAATTGAACTAAAAAAAATAGTTATTATTACTATTATTTTCCCTATTATTATTATTGCCCTTATTTACCCTGCGGTATCTAGAAAAATCGGATCCTTCATCAATCAAGATATTTGTTTCTCAATTCTCGAGTCAACAACTTGAAATTTTTAAAATAACCTAGCTCTAACCTATAGGTTTCAAAATAGAAGAATTTTAACCAAAGTTCATTGCTAAATTTCAAGTAGCTAGCAAAAAAATGGCCATAATAATGGAAACAAATTAATTTTTAACATCATTCTCCGCGTTGGTACTTAAATACTTAAATAATAAAATTAAAAAAAAATCACTTTACCCTCGATTACTGACACGGACGAAAACGAAACTGTTAAATAAGATACCTGAACTTAAGCTGAATTATACAGGACGGGCAAGTAATTAATTCGACACTGCATCTTCCTTGCGATCCATCACCGAACCTCAAGTTGGACGGCAAATAATTTTCGAAACTAGCCGCCAAAATTTCGGAGTTTCCGTATTCAGCAAAAAGCCTCCTGCCATTATTCTGTCCGCAGATATCCAGAACAGTATTTTTCCCGCCATGAATTGCCGAAAAACCGCTAATTAAAACAAACAACGTGGGCGGAACTTTGAAATACATTAAATCGGATTCGGTGTAAACACGAACTAAATGCGCAACGTTTCGAGCTTAACTGAAACGTCACACTTAAGTGAGAAGAAGCTTCGCAAGCGTTCTAATCCTATTTGCAACGGACGGCATAAATACCATCTACACAAATTCTATGGAAGGAAATCGTAGAATATTATGCAGTTAAATAAAGCATCAAACCATCTAAAAATAACTTCGGTGGTTGCTTTGTTTTTTCACATTTTAATTCGATTTCAACCAGCTTTCTCCAGTACATATTATCTGCGTGTTTATAAAGTTTCCTACTCAACACTCTAAAATGCTCAACCATGCACTGATTATTGAGTCACTTTGGAGGTTCCAGGTACTTTAAGACACGTCTTGGGAGGGATCGGATATTTTATGACTTTTGACATTTGCTTCTTCTGATGGGTACATTTGTGGTCGAGTCCGTGGACTCGGTGCTGGACTCTAGGAATGAGGAAAGTTCAATCATCAACTTAAATTCCACCAAGTACGATACTTCGATGGTAAATTGACACGGAATAAAAAATGAGAATATTCCAGCAAGGCTTGGCTGCTGCTCCTTCTTACTCCTAAATATAAGAGACACACTGTCAGTTGACATTGAAAAACGTGTTTGTTTTGGATTGTTTCTATCTATTGTCTGCTATGGTCTTGTACACTGGGGTTCAGCGACAGGGCTGAATCGAGTTTTTAGAGCCCAAAAGCGCACGCGCACGCGAGAACATTGTGTGTCGTCATTATTGCGCACTTTTGCTATATGTTAGACAAAGTTCGTCAAATTTTCAAAACAGATCATATATGCATAATTGCAGTACGCATAACAGTAACGTAGTAGAGGGCCCATTTTCCAGATTATCTAGTGGATCAAAACTCTATTATCATACAATGAATCTCCTTGGATGCTTCAATGAGAATGATGGTCTCTCAAAGTTTAAACATATTGTTAAAAGTTTTCGTATTGAGTGTTATTTTAATGTTAGCGATTTTTCTTCGTTCTTGTACTCTATAGCTTAAATAAACTTACTTACAATAGTTTAACGAATAAGGAATCTTTATAAGACCCTTTGCATAATGCCATTAAAAATAATTGTGATAATAATATATTAAACTTTCTAGTGCCAAAATTTACACTCAAAGGAGTTTTGGCAGCATGTGTTGACTGTAATGACTGATAATAGAAGACGAAAAACCATAAGCCGGCAACAATTAGGGAGCAGACGATTATATGAGTACTAGGAGCTTAATTTATTGAGTCCAAGAAACCATCCACTACCTATATACGAGGTACTGTATTTCCTCACTCTTGTATTTCGTAACTTGTAGTAGTAATTATTTGGACTTAATTTTTATACAAACAAATGGAGGACAAATTGTACAGGGTGGCCGTAATTGGAATGTTTTAACAGGATACGCCTATTTTTGAAATCGATTTTTAAGAAATAATCTGACATTTGATAAATTTTCTCAAATAACAAAGTTATCGGCAATTTTTAAACTAAAGTTTTCGGTTGGTTGTGAAAGCATCAATATACATGTAAGTCAATTTGTACATAAATTAGAAGATCGGCATTTTTTGAGTTTTCAAAATATATTTAAAAACCAGTGTTGTTTGTTAAAAAAGTTACGTTTATAACCACTACTGCACCACAACTTTATTTTTATTTGTGGTGCATTGGTATTATTGGTATTGGTATTAAAGGGGGGCGCCCTCGCGGGCGTCCAAGCACTTAGGCCACCGGATGGGCCCGTTGTGCCCCCAGGCCGCTCTAGAGGGCGTCCAGAATGCCGCCCCTCCTGTAGAAGGTCAGCAACTCCTTTAGCCCAATACCGTGCACTGAGTCCGGATCGATCAGGCCCGTTCCGAAGACTCCCAATCTTGCCCATGTCAAGGCAGGGCACTCGGTGAGTAGATGATACGGGGTCTCCTCCCCTTCCATGCACCACCTACACTCCGGGTCGTCTCCAATGCCTAGCAAGCAGAGATGCCTCCTAAGCCTGCAATGTCCTGTGTAGGCCCCTGTTAGTGCTCTACACTCCCTCCTGGTCAGTCTAAGCAGCTCCCTGGTCCGAGGAAGGGCGGGCCCATCCATCATAAGCCTCGCCTGCCTCATTCCCGGAGCAACTCTCCAGCCCCCCGCGGCCCGGTCTCTCGCCCAGGCTTCGAGAGCTCCCCGCCTCACACACGGGGCGATCCCCATATTTGTGGTGCAGTAGTAGTTATAAACGTAAGTTTGTTGATCTTCCACCACAGGTTCCAGTCTCCCCGAGTGTTGTTTGTTATCACAAGCGTGGCAACAGTGACGAAAAATGAATGCCATTTATACATAAAAAATGCAATACTGCAATATAGTTTTTAGGACTAATACAGATAAATTGAAAAAATATATTGATATTATTTTATTAGACAACTAGCCGAAACACCGCATTAGTCTGTTTTCATTTCGGCTACTAATAAATTTCAAAGTTTAAGGTACTGATTTATAGAGAAAAAATAAATCACATTGAACTGGACGCTTAATACCTAGGTATTAAATTTTGTTTAAACATATTGTAAAAATACTTTAATATAAAATGGATTCAGAAAATGAATCCCTTTTAAAAAACGTTTCTAAATTACCACAACAGTACACTGATAGATAAATCATTAATAAAAAAACGTTAATTGTAAAAAATATATATTATATGTCTCTCCTAACAAAAGTTTTCATAAAAAAACTACCAAACTATAAGATATGTTTAAAAAAAAACTAGGCTAATACATTATTCAGTCATAATCAGAGAATTGTTCCTTTTTCATATTTCTGGCGAAGGAGCTAGGATCGTTAACAACGCCTTCCCACAAATTGTAGTATTCCTGGGCAGTTACATTCTCCCTTTGAACGCCCTGACGATTCAAAAATTGTTTCCAAACCTAAAAGAGTAGGTTGACGTAACATTCACATTACTTCTTTTAATTAAATTACATACTAAATCTTCAGGTTCCAGCTTCGAAGACGGACTGTTCCCAAATTTACCGCTAGAAAATATCTGCAGTTTGTACAATAAATAGTAAAAAGTATACATTCTAGATCCATCAATTACCTAAAATAGATAACAGAAATATATAAACTCAATACAAAACAAAACACACAGACCTGGAATGATATTGTCTTTCTACTGCAACATCTGACAGGAAAAACACTTGATTTATAATAACTTTCATCTGGAATAAAACTGTGGTACCAGCTATATGGGTAAAATGTAGTTAATCCTTTTTCATCTGATGTGTCAATTGGAGTTATGTTTAATGCACCTAAGTGCTTGCCTACAAAAAGGCTAGTTTTTAACATTATCTTATAAAACATTATCAATTAAATCGACACCTAATGTGAAATCTTCTTTGTTCAATTGGGTACTTGCACTGCAACCATGTTTTCCCATACTATTGGCAAATATTTTCAGTGCTCTAAGATTTAACGAATAACCTGCTTGCCCCGTGTTGTAAATATTGGTCCACAACTTTACTGCATGTCCTAAGTAATAAGGTTTTTTTGTAGTTAGAGAGGCGACAAAATATCTAAAGTTTTCCATCACGATAAAGGTGTTACAGTTCACAACAACCACCCAATCAAAATTGTGTTTTATACCATTTAGCACATTACACAATAAAAACCATGGTGCTTGTTCTTTTCTCCTCTTTATAGGCATTGGTCTGCTACTATTATAGAGGTATATGGGCATAATTTGTTGGCATCCTCGGGCCCACGTATCTGTACTAGCAATAAGGTTAGCTTCATTTTTCACTAATATAATGCAAAACACAGATATTTTCTCCTTCAATAATTCAGATTCCAGATAAAAACTTGAATTTGTATACCTTAAGCGATCCCATCCAATAGGCTTTCTTCTTAAACCTTGCCTTTCAAACCATTTATCATAGCGACTTTCTATATACTGTTTAACGCCAAAATTGGTAAAAGATTTGAATTCGTAACATTTCTTAAATAATAATGCTAGAACTGCACCTAGCAAAATGCCGGATACAAACGCAAATCTTGAATAAAAATGGGCCATGCCAGTTTCAGTGGCATTCTGAAAAAATCTGTATAACTTTCACATCGTTTGCAATTTGTATAGGTTATGTGTAGTGACAGGTCAGTGACCACCGGATTTGCCAAATTTCCGGACATTTAACTATTATACAATATCTGGATCTTTCTCAACATCCGTTTTATTATCCAAAATGCAGAAAACAATGAAAAATCTAAATTTGGTCTTAAGAGAACCACAGTAAATTCGAACAAGAATACAATGCAAAACTACCTAACGGTTTAAATTTATTATTAGAAAAATTGTATGCCACTTGGCAACCCTGAGACCTTTAAAAAAATGAAACATTCTTCTTGTAACTCACTACCTGCCCGCCAGGGTGCCAGGAAATTCTAAATACGCCCTGTTGTCAGATTAAAATTTAGTGTTCTAGAAGGGCAAAACAAAATAAATTAATTACCATTAAGTTCCATAAAGCCAGCTGTATGCAATGAGATTCTTGACATCAACTTTCCTTAAATATGTAGTTTTTAAATCAAAATTGTACAAAAAACTGGCTCCTGAAAGAGTACATTTTGTTTAAATATAACCAAAATTAGTTTGATTATCCAATACATTATTTCATTTTCTGGCTTTTATATAAAAAGTTTTCAATGGTTCAAGTTAAATGGTTTAATTATAACACCTATACAATATCCGACTGATTATGAAATAAGTAATTAATGTTATAAACAGAAATTTTTGCATATACTAACATTATTAGAGCTGAACCTTTTTCCTTTACAAAATTAGATACATAATATAATAGTGACGCAAAATAAGATCTTGAACATTGAATTCTGCTCCGATTTGCAACATCTGACAACACTGTGTGGCACACCAATCTTGGTTGACACATGAACCGCATGCCTCAATGCAAGAAAATTATTGGTCGGTCATCCAGGTGCTCCAAGAGGGGGAAAAAACTCGTTTTAAATTTTTAGTTTGTAAAACGCCAAGATAGTGAAAGCATTAATTGGAGTCGACTTTATTGTTTGGATTTAAATGTGGTTTTGTTTAAAAATTACCGCGTCAATGAAATAAACATTAACTCCAATTATCCGTTAAGTTCGTAAACTGGCGCGGTTTAACCGACGGTCGGCAGGTGGTTCTAAATTTACCTGAAATCATTCGGGGCATGGCGTCACCACCGTATCGCCTCGCATAGTTATCATTTTTGTTTGTATTTTGAAAATGAAGGTGACTGTTTGTTTCGGAAATGTAAGAGTTGTTGTGCCATGTGGAGACGGCGATATTTTGGTTAAAGATCTGATTAGGGAAGCGATCCTACGCTACAAGAAAGCTACTGGAAAGGTAAGTTTTGTTTGTATCGACAGATTTGTTAGGTTATCAGATTGTTTATAACAATTTGGTGCTATTGCACGCGAATTTTTCTAGTGGTTTAAAATATTGGGTGCCTGAGTAAGTACTTATGTTAAATACAGGGGCGGCACACGCTGATTTTTTTTAAAATGGGTTGATTGTGCGGGTGTTTATTTTAAACATTTATTTATTTAAAATTTCAACGTTCCCAATTAACCGCGATTTCCACTTTCCACTTATTCATATCCGTTTATTTATTTAATCACTTGGTCTTAATTAAGTGCGCTAGGCGTTATCGGGAAATGATAAGTTAATACACGCGCTAGTTTAGAAGGATGTAATGTTGACCAAAAAATAGATAATTATAAATACTGAGTATAACATTATTATAATATACCTATAAATATAATATTAAATTCATAAAAACTGAAGTTTAACTTGAATTTTTTGGGAACTTTTTAAGATGTTGCAAAAAATATACCTACAAAGTAGGTAGCTTAGCAGCACCTTCATCCATTGAAAAAAAGATGTCAAGACAAGCATCCGATTTAATAAATAGGTAAGTATTATATTATTTTATATTGTCTGAATTCCAGTCCGCGATTACGCATATGCCTACGTCATATCCTCTCGATTTTCTCAAATTATTCACGCTGTTGAACGAACACCTTTAAGTAACATTTTCTCACCGCCAAATGTTGTGAATCAGCGAACATTTTTTTTTAAGCATTTCAAATTGGAAATCCGTATCATTGTACCCGGTTGGTTTAAGTTATAAACAATGTAGCTTTAGCCGAATAATTTGTAATTCAAGGTCGGCAGATAACCTACAATTGAATCGTGGTAGGCAGTGCGCATTGCTGGGCGGGTTTCGGTTTCAATAATCGCTGCTTTTTAGAGATTAGATAAACCCCGCGGCTGAAAAAAGTGGGACGACTTATGTAGCCTGGAATTATAAAATAATTAAATGGAAGGTAATTATGTGTTTATATCGTAGGCTCGGTCGTAGGTATAAACATTTTTCAGGTCTATAATCATTTTACGTAGACTTAACAAATTGCCTAAATTCCTAGGCAAATCACACTTTTTAATAAACTCTTTTTCAAAATGTATTATATTTTTTACAATTATATCTTTGTTTTTGCAATCTTTATTTAATTTACCGATGGCTTAATATAAATAAAGACAATTGAACCATATTGCATCAGAAAACATCTAATTTTTAAATAAAGTTTGAAGAATTATACAAAATTTGGCCACCAGGTGCAAAAACTCAAAAATTTATAAAAGAAAATAACTTTACAGAGAATAACGCCTAGTACATCCTAGAGCACTTATGTTATCAACTTTTCGATGGTTGCTTGAGAAATGTTTTCCCATTCCAAGAGAACACGCTCTAACTCTTGCAGGCTAATTGGGGCGGGTTTAAAGAGTGGGCTGACTGGTGGCCACTCCAAGATCTAGATGCTGATTTCATTTAAGTGATCCAAAACAGCCCTTGCAATGTGGGGTCTTGTATTGTCTTGCATGAAATTGAAGGAGTCTCCTGTAAATGGCGCAACCGGAATTACGAATTCTGCATTCATAGACGTCGAACCAATAAGAATCACCGCTGCATGTATGCCTCAGAATATATTTCTTCCAGAACATTTTTGAACCACCACCAATATTTCTCCAAACTCTACCGCTCTAAACTGTCTTTCAGTAATCTACAGTCCAGTGTACAGTAGCAGACTTTTTACTAGCCAATCCGACTTCTTTTAATCTTCCCTTGACTGTTAGTACATTTTCTATTTAATCTTGTTCGTCCAGTTTCTGTTTGTCGGAGAAAACGTCCATCAATTTGACTTGTAGTCCCTTTCCTGCCTTGACGACGTTTTATGTGGTGCGTTCCGGTTTCCCTAAATTTTCTAGCCATTCGACTAATTGATGGAATAATTAACACTTACGAAATTGGCCACCTAACGTATACTTCCTTCTTCTAGCAGTTTACTTTATTGTGCATATTTTTTTCTGTCTTGTCTATTTTTGATAGCAATTGAGATATTTTTATTGTTTATTAACAATCGTAAATTGAAAGTATGTATAAAAATGCTAACATTATTCGTGTTATCACAGATTTCTTGACTAAAAAGGAAAAAATGTAGCAAGGTTTTTGTAGAGTTTTAAGCTCTCTTTATACTGATTTTAAAAGTTAATGAAAGGATACGTAAGAATCTTTTGTTATTGTCAGTTATTACTGTCACACGGTCATTTTTAACTTTTGAATTTAGTAATTAGTGTACAATATCCTACTGCCATTTTTATTTACAAAATTTACATAAAAAGTGTAATCTGACAAGATGTTTTAACAAAATATGTGAAAAATACGGGATTTATAAATTTAAAAAACGATCTGAAATAAAAATGACAATACTATTCCTAATATTTGCACACAAAGAATCTGGATTAACAGGTTGACCCATCTGTTCACCCTCTATAGAATCGATCTCTGGAAATAACAGTTTCGTAATTACTTATTTCTTTTGATCCGTTTTTGTCTTGACTTTTACACCAAATTTTTTCAAACAAGTAAGTACAAGTAAATACCTACAATACATTTTCGGTAAGATAAACGATAAGATAAACGATATTTAAACAAAAATGTTTGCGATGGGAGTAGCAATAGTAAACAATAGTTGGCAGTGGGTACACTTAGAAACACGTTCACGAAGATATCCGCTAATCCATCAGCAATGTTCTGGACTAATCTAAATGCTTTGTTTATATATTCCACAAGTTTCTTATTAGAGGCGTTGGAAAGTAGAACACGCAACGAGGTGACATTTCTTTCACAGTTAATCCAATTAGGGATAACAAATAATCCCGCGGACAATTAAATCGATTAATTGGCACAGAATAAAATTAAATAATACGCGACAACCTTGAAACGTTTGGTGTGGCAATTTAAACTGCAAATGCGTGAAAGTTCCGTTTCAAAGTGTCGTTCAAACGCTTGAATTCAGATTTTTGAATGAAACGCCATCTACCGCATGTTCACGCCGTTGTTCTTATAGTAAATCGAGTACGGTCTTGTTGTTTAATCGATTATACTTTTTTTTTTTCATTGGCATTAAAAGGGATTGGTCGTTCATTCATTAGTTTTGTTTTGCTTGTAATGAAATAAATTTCACTACCGCGAAAAAATTTACTTTTTTTTTTATTTATGCGCTTGCGAGGAGTACGTTGGTAATTACCATGGAGTTGCTTGTGTTTGACCGTTACGATCGGCGGCAGATGTCAATCGGGCACCTCCCTCGTGTCAATTTATTTGGGCTTGGTTTAGATAAATTAACTCCATATTGATAGTGATGTCTAGTGCAACTATTTTTTTATTATTAGCAGGTTTTGCTGCTTAATGTTTCAATCTCTTAGATTGCAAAAAGATAGTGACGTTTGGTTTGTGGAATAAACTCTTGGACATCGGCAATATCATCTCGAAGTAATGAGATAGATTATGATAGCGGCCGGTTTTTTGGTCGTTTTGTCAATGATTTCTCTGGTGTATATTGTATCTTGTCTTCAATAAACAATATTTTTCTCGCGAGGTTTTTCTATAGCCAGAATTACGCGATTACGTCGTGCATGTGTCAAGCCTTATGACAGCAGTAATCGCATGCATGTCCTCGATCCAACGACAACAATAATCACAACCCACAAGTTGGGAGTTTCGGATTCCTTATAAGGTTCACGGTCACCGAAGTGTGCATACCTCTGTACGCATAATGATGAAAATGCAAAGTGTATGGCAACACTGATGTTCAATTATCTGGTTCAGGAATTTTTAAAACTCTGCGTATTTTAATTTTGTACTTTTTGCACTATAGTTATAATTAACTTATTAACTTATAAGTAAACCATTATTTACTTATTGGC